ATATTCGACAGACATTGCTCTACAAACCAGATAATAAATATTATTACAATTACAATGTTCGATGTTTTCTTTAGCTTGGATATCGATAAGGAGCTAGTTATCCCGAAGACAAATTTTGATGTTAGACAGCAGACCCTACTCCTTATCATGTATAATAATAGTAGGTTCGACCTAATTGTTCTAGCATAAATTGATAATCGACAATCCTGTTGTTCAGGGGCGGCCCCAGAGGGAGGGGGGTCGATCCAAACCCAACCCTGCTCAGCTACATAAATGTTTTTGTAAAACAACATTTTATAAGAAAAATGTAACGTTCGTTTGCTTTATCCTTTATCATCAGATGATGGGATGAGATATAGACTTGTGTGATACCTCAATTAATGCTTTTTTGCATCAATGAAATTGAATAACAATGTGATCCTATTAAACATACATCATGCAAGAGCTAAATCTGCCTAATATAGGTCTTTCTTTAGGCCTGAAATGTTATCTAAAATATTAATTAAACATGAATTAACTTATCCTGACCACAATCAACTCTCGATGTCATCGCTAGCCTGCCATATCGATAATCGAGACTATGCTTTTTTTTATTGTACCGTCTTTAGTAATGATGGTCGAAGCTAGGCCTAAAATTCAATCGCTAATATTTCTGTTCGGAGAGGAGCAATTTAACTGGAATTTTCAGCATATTCCCTTTACATCATCTAATTTGTACCTATTATAGTACCCACAATGCCCCTTTAATCCATTATAAAAATTGACGTCAAAAGGGGCGTTGGAGTTCTCTTTTTAAAAAGCTCAATGTATATGTATGCCTACATAACTTAGAGACGAAGATGGCATCATGCATTGTAAACTGTCAAATTTCCGTAACAGAAGCCTGGCCTTGCCCCTTCTGCAAAAATCCCTGGATCCGCCCCTGATGTTCTTGTATTTATACCTGGATATCACGTGGGCTCAATGTAACCAAAAGGAGCAGAGGTCCATGCTCATTAAGATTTATGGTTGTATATTATCGGAAAATATATTACGCCAGCCAGCCTAGCAAATCATACATATAGCAACGTGATTGAAAATAATATTTTACATGATGTATATTTATGAGATGGTACTCCTAAGTGGTATAATGTTTTAACATTATACCACGTATGGGTAAAGCTATACAGGCAGTAATAAGACAGTACCGATAGTGTGTTTGACCTGGATAAGAGCAAAGATAATATCGCTTGTATTAGGTCTACGCTAAATTATTGTAATCTAGTTTTTGAGTATAATTTGATGTATCTTAAACCGTAGTTATGGTAAGTAAATTAAGACATTATGCATGATGATACATAGTGCGATTCCACCTGTAACGTTATGTAAATGTGGTCAGTGAAGGTATAATAAGTAGGGATGTACAGTATACATAATGTCCATACTTGTTTATACTTTTCAAGCCTTTCGGAATGAAAGTGGTGATGGAATTCCTCGTTATATTCGTGTTTTAAATGTGCGCGAATTATAATTATGTTGGCGTAATAGTACTCTTAATTAAGGGAAAGTAAAGTGACAAAAATTGTCACAGTACCTTAAATGTGTGGTCTCAAAATATCATTCACAACAGTCTTAGTGTCTGTATTTTGGTATCTAAATGTGCTTGAGATGATACTGAACAATACAAAATGGATGAAAATGGAAAATAATGACTTGAATTTGTAACTTTGGAAAATATAAAGCAAATATACAATTCAGCTATTTTTATAGGTCTAATGAATACACATTGTTAATATTTTTATGACTTCTTAATTCACCGTTCGACATTAAACATGCATTATGCAAGAGCAAAATCTGCTTATTACAAGTCTTTCTTTAGGCCTGAAATGTTATCTAAATTATCAATTAGACATTAATTAACTTATCCAGACCATAATAAACTCTCGATGTCAAGGCTAGCCTTCGATGTTGGCTGGATTAGATTCCTATATGCCGCTAACGGCTATTGATAATTAAATCAATAAAAGTGGATAATCGAGACTATGCTGTTTATATTAATGATTTTAGTAATGATGACCGAGACTATGCAAAAATTTCACCCGCTTCTTTCTCGGCTCATAGTGGATCAATTTGACTGAAATTTTCAGCAAATTACCTTTACACTATCTAGTTTTTAACTATTATAGCGAGAACTGCCATCTCTTTATCTTATCTACCATAATGTATAATTAAGTGCCTGGAATTTTATTCTTTTTTTTATTTACACTTATCACAGTGTTTAATCTTTGTTAAATTGTACACTTATAGTCGTCCATAACTAAATGTGGAAATGTCCAGCTGAATGTTTGATTAGAACACAAAATATGATAATGGTACTCCATTGAAAAGTATTTGTCATACAAAAATTATATTTAGGTAACAAATTCTATACCAAACCCTCAAAATGGTTACTATTGTAACATAAATGAATAATAATTTATCCAAAATTTTAGAAACAAGTCTTTTTATTAACATTTACCAACACTTGACAACGGCGGCCATGATAGCTTAATTAGATTTATAGTACGCTCCATATGAATAATGTTAATATTAAAAGGTGTGACAGTTATTGCAAATGAAGGTCAATAGTTTATAATGTTACGATTTAACACCTGATTTATCGATAATCATGATAGTATAAGTCAAAAAGTATTTACTTCATCTTTATTTGCCTTTCTGTGTCGAATAACCGCTTGACGGGTGTGTTGTTTAAGACAATAAGATTATAAATAATTTATTTATGACACAGATGACCCGGTGTAAAGAGAGAGAGAGAGAGAGAAAGAGGGAGAGATTTAACGTCCACTCGACACAAACTGGGTCATTTGGGGCCTAACATATGGATCACGGGGCCCGCTACAGGTTCCTCTGGGTCATTGGAGCAGCAACTCGGCGAGAGGGTGGCTCGAAATTTTTTTGAAAGATACATGGTCATTTTGGCGTATATCTGGGGTAACGGGAGGTCACTTTGCTAAAACACAGAAACTGAAGACATACCAAATCCATGTGGGCTACTGCATTTTAGTAATAATAATCAGATGTAATCAGGAAATTTTAAGCAAAAAAACTAATGGAAAAACAAAAACCGTGACCATCAGACGCCAAAATACCTTGACGGCGACGGACCGAGGTCCACGACGCGAAGGCCCGGGCAGTTAGCTTATAGTTTTTAATTCACCCCCTAATTTTCGACAGTGCCCTTTTTTACTGCTGAAAGTGCCTTTTCTCAGACCCAAATATGTCCATTCCCAACCCGTTGCGGGGATCCCAAATGACTCAAACCATCGACTCAAACACACCAGTCTGGTCTAATTAATGCTTCCACTTTCAAACGAATTCTTGTTGTTTAGCTGACGGTGCCCTAATCCTATAGAGTAACTATAGACAGACATCAATGATTGCATCTTGTGGAATCGGCGGCGTATACTACTATATACTCATGCCCATCACCGACGCGCATTCGTGCAACTTGATGTAGCATTGTTTCATGTGTGGACAGTACAAATTACAAGGCTTAAATAGTGAAGTGGCTAGGGAATAGATTCGTCTTTTTTCCCATCATAATGCCTCGCTCGCCTTGACAATATTCGAGTCGCGTGTTCAACTGGCTTTTTTGCTCGATTTGAAGGCTCTTTTTCTTAGAACGTTTCTTTAGACGAAAATTTCAGCCAAATAGCTCTTGGAATGGCTACATATGCAGGAAAGGACGGATAATTTTCTTGCCCCCCCCCCCTCTCAGCGGCGTGCCGCGTCTCCGCGGTCAGTGCCCTAATTTAGCGGCGGCCCCCCCCCCCCCTTTTCAAAATTCCTAGATCCGCCCCTGCTACTTTAACTAATTTATACCAACAATTTCTTTTAAAAACATTACTCGACATAGGCTACACCGGGCCCCTCTAGACTCCGAGCCCCTGGACAAGTGTCCCAGCTGCCGTCTCCCCCCTTTCATGGGCCTTGGTGGTTCATTTCTATTTTAATAATCTGCTTGCGAGTAGGGGTCTTTAGCAGTGGGAGGAAACCGGAGTAGCCGGAGAAAACCTACAAGGTTGGACAGGCGAATCAACACCACCCTATTTATCTCAATGACAAACCTTGTGATTTCACATGCACGCGTTAAACCAATACACATCCCACCGTCACAGACACACGTTTGAATAAGGGATTATAGTCTAATAATGTTTTAAATGTGAAATCGAAAACGATTCGCGTATATTTTCTTTGTCAGCACAAGGCCCCAAATCAAACTGATCAGCAGAGGAGTGGATCGATTTAAAGGGGCTATCCCGATTTGAACAGAGTCTCTAAAATAAGAGTCTGAGTACGTATGAAATTTAAGCGCCAGAATATAGAGGAATGGTGTATTTACCTTGTCTCAAAATTTCAGCTCACAATATTGAGTCGTTTGGACTTGAACGTCCAGACACGTAACCCTTTTAAGATTTCGGGTCAATTTTTTCGATGGGTGACCTGATAATGGATTCCCGTTCCCTTAGAGATCTATACAATGAATGACTCATGTGCGGTACTTGATAACGAAAGGCAAATTTCCCCTACACATTATTTTTATAATACAGCTTCGGAAACCGGTCTCCGTTTCCAGATGAAGATTGACGGGTTGAAGTTGTTTGAAATCGTATCACGTATATTGAGTTAGTTGCTCGGACCAAAGGTAGAGGATTTTAAGGGATTTTAACACAAAAGTAAGCAGTTTCAAACTCCAAAATATTATCGGGATGTTTCCTTTAATATAATGAGGCGTTAATGTAACGTTGTATTCGCTGTCGATAAAATTTTGAGAGTGTTTTGGAAATTAATTAAAGAATTTGAAGCAACAATATATGTCAGATTATACCACTAAAGCGGAGTAGGAAACGTCATATTATGTATTATACCTTGCTTTTGTAATAAACAACACGTTTTAATTTTAATAACGTATACTGTACATATTTGCTTACATTTTAGAGCGGAAGTGAGGTCGTCACAATACGTCAACGCCACGATGTATTTCTATGGGCAGCCGGAATGGCCTTTATTCTGATTCTTTCTGGTCTTATATTTGGATTAGGTAAGAAAAAATAAATAATGGTTGGTATCAGATATTTGGATATAGTAAAATGAGGCTCAGATGAACCATATCGATATTCAAAGTACTGAATTCCGAACACATTGTGGACGTGATGGAAGAAATTATTTTTTGGTGTGAAGCATCTCAGTAATACGAGGACGAACACTATCGATATTCAGCGTTCTGCGACCTGGGTTATGAGTTATGTCTCCATTTTGGAAAACATTGTAAACGTGACAAAGACTTCTGAACGTCGGCGACGGTGGTCAGATACCTCGAAAGAGCCTTTCCTTATCAAATTTGTTTAATATCAATTTTTTTTTTCGGAAATCCGAAGGCACTGTCGAGTGTCGAAACATGGTTGTTGTGTGATCATGTTTTCACGCTTTGCGTGACTGAATATCATAAAGCAGATAACGAATAATCACTATGTACATTTTTTGTTTCATATTGTCTTTTTGATCTATAATTTTGTTTTTCTTTTCACGATAAGGTTCAATGCGAGGTTGGGATGCTAATTCGGGTTACACTCATAATACCAGCGAGACATCTAGAGAACGATTTCTACCAGAACCGTTTATACCAGAGCCAGGCGTTAAGGGGAGGTAACTATGTTTTCAGTATAAGGTTTCAGTATAAGCAAATATCCCAGTAATGGCATCAATGTTATATCCATGATATTCTGCTATGCATTTAAAGATGCATTACGTAAGATCTAAAACTGCTTATTGTAGGCCTTTCTCTTTGGCCTCAAGTGGTATATAATTATTATTTAAACTTTAGATCAACTCTTTAGATCGTCGGATTGCAGCGATTTTTGATAGATTCAAACAGGATCGCCATTTAATAATTCAATTTAAAACTGGATGATCAAGTGATCAAGACTTTGTTTATTATCGTAACAATGGCAGCAATGAAAATTGAAACTACGCTATTCTTACCAAACCATCCGTCATTTATGACTTCGTCCAGAATAAAGAAATGAAATGGGGGTTAACTTCCTATTGTCCTGCTTCGGCGGGCTTACGTCATACAGTGTGTTATGGGGGACATTTTGGCGCTACGTCCTCCCTTATATCAAATTCCTACTGCCACGAGTTCTTTTACGTGCACACCAATGTGTACACGAGACGTCGTATTTTTGCCTCATCCGAATGACTATACATTGTCCCCAGCTAGGCCCGTTGCCTTGCACCACTGACATTGGGGAGGGCGGGGGGGGGGGGGCTCGCCGGGAAATCCATACAAACTTTTTCGTTCAACACCGGGACCTCCAGGTAAGCTAGCCAACGTCCTGCTCACTAGTGACTGCGGCTTCCTCAGAATGGAGTTATCTGACTGAAATTTTTGAAATATTCACTTTTCATTATCTAATTTTAAGCTATTATAGCGAAAACTGACAGCTCTAAATCTTACATAAGGCATCTTTAAGCGGTCGTCATTGTACTTTACGGAAATCCACGTTTGAATGTATTTAGCAAGTTTAAAATGTTTCTTGTACTTTTTTTTTACAGATATGGTCCTGAAGCAACAGCGAGATGGTATTATTGGAAGTTGCCACCTAATGAAGTGACAGTATACACTAGACTATTTGTGTGGATATGTTATGTCTTACATCAAGTGTTAATTTGGATTATTACGTTCTTGGCCCAATATAGACAAGTAAACATATTTTCTGTTTTCATGTTCATCTTATCTTGGTTCACTGACCTTTTTAATGGTGGTTGACTAAACATAGCCATAGATGGTGTGTGTGTGTGGGGGGGGGGGGGGTCAGACTTGTTTGCTCACTAACCCGGATGTCCTAACGAGAAGAAGCGTCTGGTCTTTCGGATGAGACCATAAAGATCCACTAACAGTTAAAATCGGTATAAGAGTAAACCGTAGCGCCGCTATCCGGACAGAATTCCCATCAATCCATAATAAATGCATGGTATACGTCTATGCAGTAGGCCGATTGATGAAAATAAGTTAGCCGTTAAACCTCGTTTCATTTCCTTTTTTTTCCTACTTTGAAACTAACGTGCCTTTGTAGAATTATCCTTCATTTGTAACTTCTGTGAAATATATTCGGTCAATCCATCAAGTAAAACATGAGAAATATGGAGATTTAATAACATAGATGTTTTTATCCAGATGTGTTGCAGAAACGGCAATATGAAAATATACTGAATAATCGTGCAAACGTACTTCGATGCGCATTTGCTTAACTTCATACTGATATGCCAAGAATACGCATCACACTAGTACTTAGCAATTATTACTCACTTCCAGATTCAAACGTTTGATGATAGTTATTATCCCTGGTGATCACGTTTGTCCTCTATGCATGTAAGCGATGTGTTTAATCCCATGAATGTATGTGGCATGTAATGAATGAAATGATCACCTGCTAAATATCCATGGGCCTACGTGAGAAAAATATTTATATCATTTTCTTCAGTATCTAGTGTTACAATTGTTCTTACAATGCGCAGTCCCTAATAATTAAACACGAACCGATTTGTACTGCAGGTTGTGAGTGCTTGAAATTATTATCATACCAGATAATATATAAATTACAGAAGTCGACAATGGCAAAGGCTGTTGTTCTCCTTTAATGTTTTAGTTTTTTTATGATCTATTTACAGGTTTTACACGGATCCAATGATAAATATACTACTACTATTGACAAGTTTAACTATATAGCACTTGCATTAAATGTCGGCTTTCATCTTCTACATCTTCTTCAAACTCAGATCACTTACGATGGAACGGCTCAAGATACATCAATAGCGACGTCTCAAGGTAAGTGTTGCGCCATATATCAGCTCAGATGTGAACTGGCACAACATGTATTTAATTTACGCTGTGATCAGGTTCATAGCCTCAACTACACTTGATTAGTCAAAATGCAGTCTGAAATAACATGCAAAAATGAAAACAACCGCCTTGCACCCATAGTTCAGAAATCCCAGATTCCCAGTGAATCTCATTAAATATATTTTCATTAAAATGATATTATTTTGTTCCAGCTTCAGTAATCATGTTAGTAATATTTATTCTACTAATGGAGCTAAAAGAGAGGGGAATTTTATTTGGTTGGCCGGTAGTTTACAATACGGATGCTTGCAGTAGAAAACTAAAGCCTGACTACGGTCCCACTAATCTAATACGACGTTACCACGGTTACGCATTCTCCTGGGCCGCCATTTATACATTTTGGTATCACCCGATGGAAAATACTTGGGGGCATGTCATGGGTTTTGCCCTCACTTGGATGATTATGCTTCAAGGTAAGGAACTTATAAAGTTTAAAATCCAAGATCCACCAGAGCCATAGATAATATCTTAAAAGAAAATATTGATACCACATGCATAATATCATACATTGTTTTGATGCAATTTTAATTCTGTATTTTTTTTCTTGTTTTTAAACCTGTATTATTTCTTTAATGTGATTTGTTTTAAAATGATAAATATACAATACTATTTATTCTGTGTGTTTTTGGACTTAGATATTTTAGTTCCCAGTCGTGTACTGTCGTCGTTCATATGTGTTTCAAGACTAACAACCCGCGCTGCGTCTTTGTCTGGATATACATGCGGAAGTTAAAATTCAGAAAGGATACATTTTTTGGCAGAGAGCGAGGCAAATGTATTTTGACGATGGCCCCGAGAGAAATCAGAAGCCCAATAAAACGTTGTTAAATTTAATTATAGATCAAAGACCTATTGCACGTAAATTAAGATGATTGTCACAGAAACTGTAATTCAAAATATCTCAGGGTTCGGTGTAACATGACACAATCTAAATATTTAAAATCCAGCCATCTGATGACAGAAGTCCAAGACAACATTTGTTTTCAGATCAAAGTTTTCATATGAACAATTAATGTATTTTGTAGGCAGCTTGATGTATACCGTGTTTCATCAGAATAAATATTGGAGATTATTTGTCGAGGCGTTCGTAGTAATACATGGTACAGTTGTAGCTGTTCAGACAGGGGGGCCAGCCATGCTAGGCACCAGTATATGGCCGATGTTTACTTTTGGTTTTTCCATGGTTCTGGTTTTGACTCAGGTAAGTCATGCAGAGTAAATAATAGATTTAATTTATAACAAATTCAATACAAAACGAATCTCATGGTCACGGACACCATTCTGTCAGATTATAATATTATCTTTTAGGAAAACATGCTGGGTTGGGTGTGGGGATTCCGATGCATGTCAGTGGTCTCGACTCGGCCGAACAAACGGACAGGACACATTGTCAATCAAGAGCAGTTCTAAAACCAGATTGAGTTTCCCTATCAGTTGGATTAATAAGGACTATTATAGAATTAAAATTCTAATTATCATCTAAAAACCAACTGTCCAGACCGTTTACGTTGACGCCAAACGTATTTGTCATCCCATCAATAAGCCTTAAATAGTCTGTTTCTTCCTTTTCAGATTTTTCTACTATCATTTTGGAGAAGAATACATTTTGTGTTCCGTTTTCTGCCCTTTTTTATTTACATTGGAGTTGTTGTCTACATGTACAGTTGGATACCTGATAAAAATGGACAGACATGGGTTAGAATGCAGGAAATTATCAGGATTCCCCTGGTTTACTACCTATTCTTGTTCTACGTTTGGTTCCTCTTGTTTGTCTTCCTAAAAATAGAATCTAAGATGTCTAACGATGAAGTCGGTAATAATGAAGACGGCGTCATCAAAAAGTGTGCTTACGTTACACTTTCCGTGTTGATTTATGCATTTTTTGTGTTAATAAGTGCGTTAACTCAATATTATGACATTCAGCTGGGATTAATAGTGTTGATGATTATTTTTGTAGGTATTTTTAAAACTGGTGTTTGTATTTCCATGATGCTTTTAAAACAGGTGTTCCCTAGATATAGACCAGATCTAAAAATATCCGGAGAAAGGTTTAACGTTTCTTCGTCGCAAAGTGCAAATGATCACGATAGTAGAGACAGTTACAAAACATTTGATGAGAAGTTATAATATGTTTTTACGGACAGATACGCCATATAAATCCAGTTCGTATACTGTTCATAGTACTAATCAACTCAAAAAACCCGCCGCCTGTAAGTGGACGCCTGCAAGCGGATGACTAGAGATCACAAGTTTAATTCTGATCACGCCCGATGGTATGTACGGCCTTCTCAGGCTGGCTGTAATTTTGCCCCACAGAAAGGAAGATCTTTGATGATTTTTTAGTCTTTCAAATTTGAACGGTCTATGAAATAATTTTCAGTGCTTATGCGTGTTTTATAAATTAACATACTTCGGCCCTGTTGTCTGCTTAGCTAGAACAAAATTACCTTAACCCATCATCCATACTTTTCAGCACCTATTTTAAAGTTGAAATGCCCAAAAATTCAGTAATGTGGCAAGATCAACCCACCAATCAAAACTTCCGATACAGAAAAATTCGCGATATCATGGACACATTTCATTGACCGTCAATAGATCAAAATATTATTATATGGCGTACTCACAGGTCAGCAACACTCCAATGTGTTTATTTATTTATGGGGTGGTCAATCGAATACACGGTAAGAAAATGACTGATTGTTTTCATCAGATTGTGGTTACTTGTTTTGTAAGTGGATTTCTATATACTTTCAAAATTTTATAGAGTCAATAGGGATTTTGTGATGAACGACCGATAGCTTAAAATAAAAACGAACTAAACACATCATAGAAGAACCCCAACTCAACACTTTATTTAGGCAATATTATTCTCTGTGTATTATTATTATCGGAATAATGTCATATTTTACCATTCTTGTAAAGTAATATATTTTTATGCTTAAACATACATTATGGAAGAGCTAAATCTGCCTATTGCAGGTTTTTCTTTAGGCCTGAAATGTTATCTAAATTATTAATTAGACATTAATTAACTTATCCAGACCATAATCAACTCTCGATATCAACTCTAGCCTGCGATGTTTACTGGATTAGGATCCCATTTGCTGCTCCACTTTCATTCTTGATTTAATCATGAATTGGATAATCGAGACTATGTTTTTTTATCGTACCGACTTAAGTAATGATGATCGAGGCTAGGCCGAAAATTCAATCGCTAAAATCTCGGTTCAGCGTGGATCAATGTGACTGAAATTTTTAGCAAATTCCCTTTACATTATCTAGTTTTTAAATATTATAATGAGTACTGCCAGCTATTTATCTAATCTCCCCTAATGTAGTATCTTTAAATAATTACTCAGGATATAAAACCTTTGAATTTATTAAAAAAAATTCCAGTTCTTGGAGAATTTTTTATCACCATATCATCGAATTCCAAAATGCAAAGATTTATAGGAATCGACAGTATCTCAATTATTGAAGCAGTCCAGAAATTTATAAAGTAATTCGTAGTACATATTGTTGTATCAAATAGTAATACTAAAGTGATATATAGCTTGTATTTGTGAATATCGTTGCTTTTATAAAGAATGACATCTAATGTATATTTTCAATATATGTGTTATATTTGCTGTATCCATATGAAAAATATTCCTATTTTATAAGTGAATAAAATATTGTTTAAACTAAACTGTCTCAAAACAATTCTAAAATTACGATGCCAGATTATAGTCACTTTAACATTGAATGTTTTTTGTGAAAGCTCCAGGTTACGCTCATGCCTTGTGGATGTGTCTAAATGGACATCTGGGCGAAAAGGCGTGGTTGGGGGGGTGGGGGTATTTTTCTTGACTGGGGGTCTGGGGGCGGAATTTTAAATGGAATGCCCTTTTAAAACAAGGAAAAGTTCCTGTTAAGACGCCGTTTAAATGATCAATAGTGAGGAGTGGAATAGTGGGATTGGACATAACTTTTGAAAACCATGCACCCGGAGTTATTCAATTAATATATTAGAAATGATTTTGAACCACGAGAAAAGGCCCTCGACAGTGGTAACGGCTGAATATTTTCGAAACATCTTACTTATTTTCTAATCAGACAAATTTTGAGCATTATGCATTATCTTTAAAAAGTTTTTAATCAAATGATATAGAATTAAAATACATGTTTCCTCAATATTAAAAATGTCAATGTCTTATAGCAGCAAAATCTTTTGTTTAGGTTGTCGCTGTGGTTCAGTGGTTCTTCTTGTGGTTGTGATTGTTTAGGTTATTTTGTGGTGAATTAGGTTATTGTTACCGTTATTGTTTTTTTAAGTTGTTGATGCTGTGGTTGTTTTGTTGTTGTTATTCAGTCTTATGTTCATCTACATCCAATCTATGGTGAGTTTCTGTTAGGAAGAATAACGCTACAGTACCCAAGCCATATGCTGCTAGTAAAGCCCAATTCATCCACATAGTGCCTTAAACAAGATAATAAATAAAACAATGAATGTAGATAAATATTACAAATTTAAATTATATTTATGGTCTTGCTTTTCTTAAAAAATACATCATAGTTAACATATTGAGAAGCTAAAGGAGAGCGGCCATTTCCGTTGTTTTAAACAGATCGGTGAGACAATATCTTGGATTTCTACATGAATTTAACTAACTGTACAGCTTCACTCTACTCGACCACATATATTTCTATATTTGAGAAATATGTCCCGAAAGCTCATGAGTACCACGATGGGCCCATAAGTACACGCGTACATATCTGTTCCTTGCATTTAAGAATTACATTTTGCAAGAGATGGATAGAAAACAAGCTAAACAAAAAAAGATTTTTCGAAAAATCATGGGCCATAATTCAGTAAGTTACGATCCGATATGCACGAATACCGACAGGAACCAAGATCTTTGGGTTATAAAGATATATTTCGAGTTTCATCATTGTGACTTCCACTCCGCAAACCTCGGCAGATTCCGGTACCCTACATCTAACCTCGGCTGTATGATAGTAATTGATATGTACCTACGCCCACACATTTGCGATGCGGCTACTTTAACAGGAAAACGTGCCGCTTTTACAAAAAGGTCCCAAAATGGCGTCTTTTGTCGAGTGTATATAACTAAACGAGCAGAGATATTGTCTCAAGGCTGCTGGTTTGATATAATTCCCTGGTAATTCCCCAAACCCAATGCCAAACTTGACGTTTGTTGATATAATACACTCTCCACAGAAATCTCCATTGGCGCAGCCATTTTTCATCCGGGACCTTTAAAATAGTTCCAATATGGCCGAGATTAGATGCGTAGAATCTGTCGAGGTTTGCCGAGTGTGTGACTTCTAGAGGGTCCACAACCATAATATACCATATATTTACACTATTTGCGTACGAGGGCCGGCCATTCTGTCCGGCAGTTTGGGTCCAATTTTCACGAAATTCGAACTCAACCATCATTTGGGTATAACTGTAATATATTCAAACGGTTTTTTAAATCGGATAAAATTTGTCACCTCTGGAGGAACCACAAGCTAAAAACGATTTTTAATACAATCAAGGGCAATAATTCAGGAAGTTACGATTCGATTTTCGCGAATATCGAAAGTAACCAAGATCTTTGGGTTATAAATACGCATTTCAAGTTTCATCAAAATCGGATCAAAACGTGATTTTTCGTACAATCAGGGGACATAATCCATGAAGTTATGGTCCGATACATGCCAATTTCGAAAGGAACCGAGATCTTTGGGAGATTGACCTAAATTGCAAGTTTCGTCAAAATCGGATAAAAATTGTGACCTGTAGAGTGCCCACAAACAAATTGTGGACGGGCGGACGTCCGGGCGGAAAGGGGCGACAACAATCTACATGTACGTCCACATGAAAATGTGGGCGTATAAAAAAGCGATTTTTCTACAACCAGGGGCAATAATCTAAGAAGTTACCGTCCGATATGAACGAATATCGACAGGAACCAAGACCTTTTTATTATAAAGATACATTTCAAGTTTCGTCAAAATCAGATAAACATTGTGACTTCTGAAATGTCCACAACATTGGTATTTCATACTTTTACACTATTTGCGTACAAGGAGCGGCCGTTGCTTGGGTCAGATTTTTACGAAATTTAAACCCAACCTGATATGTAACGGTGATATATTTAAACGTTTTTAAAAATTGAATACAAATTGTGACCTCTAGCGGGACCACAAGCTAAAAATGCGATTTTTCGAACAACCAGGGCCCATAATCCAGGAGGGGTTTTACGTTCGGGTATATGCGATTATCTAACAGAACCAAGATCAAAATTGTGGCATCTAGAGGGCCCATGACTACGGAAGCGTCATAGGGCCACATATTTTTTTTTATTATTCTATTTTCAATTTTTCAAGTTACTAACTTGATACTAACTTGAATTTTCAAGATACTAACTTGAAGTTACTTTTTACTTTGGTAGCCTATATGTGTGTCAAGGCTGCTGTGTGGGCGTATTATCTTTCTTGTATGGCCTTTTACTACCCGGAATTTTCAAGTTATTGACTTACAGGCTGTAGATGTCCTTGGGGGGGGGGTAGATGTCCCAGGGGGGCAGATGTCCTGGGGGGCAAATGTCCGGTGAGTAAAAGCCCGGGGGTAGATGTCCTCATCTTCAATAGAAGGCTTGATCTCGCTTTAACTACGTACATCTTATCAAGGCCTTCACGTAATACCCTACATAATTCAGCACTAATTTCGATTGGGTACAAGCCCAACTTGTGAGCCTATCAGATTCCTCGATCGTCGCGAATACCCAGGCTCGTGCTTTCAAGCTAAAATATCTACCTGTGATAATCGAGTTGCAAAGTTCAAGGTTCATTCAATGTCAAGGTTTCCGTGAAGACGCGATGTCACAACCTCTGATTGGACACTACTGCTCACGTGTCGATAGAAAACATAGCTATAAGTTCGAGAATTGTGAAGTAAACAAGCAACGGCCAGCTGTTGTGAAACTCGCAGTCGTTGCTTCAGGAACGTGAGATGTCCTAGGAGGAAAGATGTCTTCAGGAGGAAAAGTCCTCGGGGTAGAAGTCCTAAAAGGGGGGGGGGGGGTATCCGGGGGCAGATGTCCGGCGGGGCAGATATCCAGGTGGGGTGGGGGGGAATGTCGTGTATTACGTCAATAAAGACTATTTTTAGAACTGGGAACTGGGACGTTTGATTCGTCATTACGCACCACATTTAATTTTTTTTTGTACTTCAAAAAGGTTTTCTATAGGGCTCAAAACTGTTAAAATGGATGAATGAATGAATGAATGAATGGTGTTTTATGGCACGTCGACACCGTAATAATCTGGTCAATTTGCGCCAATCTATGTGCTATCGGAGATGATTTGCCTAATGCGCGGGGAGTAAATTCGCTGCAGGTGGAAACCGGAGTACCCGGAGGAAACCTGCGTGATCGAATAGGATACTCCCGCACCTTGTCATTGAGGTCGGCGAGAACGGGATTCGTACCTCGACCCCATTGATGACAGACCAACCACCCGACCACCCTCAAAACTGTTAAACTAGTAAAATAGAATTTAATGAGATGATTTAAACTAAAGGCAGAACACTAACACATTTAGAACTTAGAATAAGGCCTTTTTTGAACCAGCGAGAGTGTAATTGTCCAATTTAGTATCTTGAAAATTCAAGTTAGTATCTTGAAAATTCAAGTTAGTATCTTGAAAATTAAAGTTAGTATCTTGTAAATTGAAGTTAGTAACTTGAAAATTCAAGTTAGTAACTTGAAAATTCAAGTTAGTAACTTGAAAATTGAAGTTAGTATCTTGAAAATTGAAGTTAGTATCTTGAAAATTGAAGTTAGTAACTTGAAAAATTGAAAATAGAATAATAAAAAAATATGTGGCCCTATTACGCTTCCGTACATGACAACCTTGATGTACCATATATTTTCACTATTTGCGTACGAGGGGCGGTCATTTAGTCTGGCACGAAATTTGAACTCAACCACCATTAGGGTGTTATATTCAAACGTTATTTTAAATTGGATAAAATGTGTGACTTCTCGAGGTACCGCAAGCTAAAAACGCGATTTTTGATACAATCAGGGGCTATATTTCAGGAAGTTACGATCCGATATGTGCGACTATCGACAGAAACCAGGATCATCGGGTTATAAAAATGCATTTCAAGTTTCATCAAGATCAGATGAAAATTATGACCTCTAGCGTGTTCACAAGCTAAAAACGTGATTTTTCGTACAATCAGGGCCAATTATTCATGAAGCTATGGTCCGATGCATGCCAATATCGAAAGGAACCGAGATTTTTGGAAGATATACCTAAGTTTCGTCAAAATCGGATAAAAATTGTGTCCTGTAGAGTGTTCACAAACAAAAACTGTGGACAGACGTCCGGACGGACGGACGGACAGGGACGACAGCATACAGCATAATATGTCACCATGAAAATGTGGGCGTAATATAAAATTGTGACCTCTAGAGGGACCACAAGCTAAAAACGGCCATAATTCAGGTAGTTACGATACGATATGCTCGAATATCGGAAGGGACCAAGATCTTTGGGTTATAAACAAACATGTCAAGTGTCATCAAAATCGAATGAAAATCGTGACCTCTAGAGTGTCCACAAGCTAGAAACTGTGACCTGTAGAGTATTCACTTATAACAAATTGTGGACGGACGTCCAGGCGGAGAGGGGCGACGACAATATTCGTCCACATAAAAATGTGGGCGTAAAAATTTGTGTTCTGTTATGGGTTTCCCAATCGCTAAATGCCACTTTAAGATTATATTGTATCCATGCTATTGCATCCGGGTTTTTTTCATCTGATACGGATTACTTTACTCTCGATTCCAATTTCCCAGTGAACTGTTTCTCGTTAATTGCGAATATTGTTACAGATAACAAATATGATATCGTCATATTCAAAGAGTGTTGTTCAGCACTGTATTGATGGAAGAACCCACTGACTAAGAAGTTTACGGAGACACTGGGAATTCCCGAATGTAAAACAAAAACTGACCTATTCCAGGTATAAAGAATATTCCTAGGAAAATCAGAGCTGCAACATTATTCTGTGTTGTAATGACGACATTCGTTACACCTTCGGCTACAGGATAAGTTATCTCACAAGATAATTCATAAAATAATGGCGATGTTGCTCCATTTAATAAACTGGCTAAAACATCAGATATAAATAGATAATCTGAAACGGGAGATTTAAAAATATGGAAGCTGATAAGTACACCTACTTCTTCTCGCCGTCACGGTAACCCCGTTTACATTACAAATTTAAAACGTGGCAGGCACGGTACCAGGCAGGGCACGGTTAATGTTTGTGTCGTGTAAACGGGTCAAACATAAGCGTGCCGTACTGGATACCTTGCCAATTTCGCCAACTGAATTGAGGTGGTCTCGGTACGGTGCCAGGCACGACACGGTTAAATTTTCGTATTGTAAACGCTCTCCGGTCTGAGAACGGTTCCAATAAGGACTACTGCGCATGTTCCAAATGAACCTTGACCTTTTTTCCAGCGAACTTTGACGGTTCTGTCAAAATGACTGCTCAAAATAAATCAATCGCCATAATTGTTTTCATCTAGGTAATTTGCATAGGGACTGAAATTAACTTTTCTGTGAAGAGTTCCACATTTGGCGTGCCTGGCACGGTTCCAAGACCGGTTATTTTAGAGTAATGTAAACGGGTCAATTTGTTGAAATTGATCGCGGCCTGTTACCGTGCCGAGAAAGGCACGCGTATCGCGGCCAAGTGGAAATGACCTTTTTCGCAAAACGGCCATATTTTGTTGCCAAAATTTAGATCTATATTTTAATCAAATTGATTCTATTTCCAACTGTTAATTGTGCGTGGGAATAGCCAATCCACAAATTTAAGCTTATACTTTCGGTTATTCTAGGACTGCGCATGGCAGATATGAACCGTAGGGTGACATCAAATCTTGCTCCGTCGCTGGTTTCATAGCCCTCAGGTCATTTAACTAACACAGATCATACTCAAATTCCCATTCTATACATTGAATTATGTATTAAATTTCAAAGAAATGTGCGTACGTGTACCTTTATGGAAAGGTATAACATTTAGTAGAGTTAAGATCAACCAAAGATACATTACAGTCGTCGAGAAGAAAAGAAATATCAAAAATATTTTCAACCGTCTTGTAAACTTATCTGCAAATCTAAAAAAAAAAACAACAACACAACAACATTAATTTCAAAAGACAAATCATGATTCAAATGGACCCAAAATCATTAAGATGCCTTCCCTGGAATTTGATTGTAATGTAAACAGAATCTATTTTTGGAGAAACCTGCGATGGCATATTGAAAGAATCCGTCAACACTACCTGCATGCAAGCCTCGGATTCACTCAGAGATAACTACAATTACAAGGGTAATGGCTTAACATAGGAGTGTAGACTGGGGAGTATGTCCTATATATATATATATATGAATCTATATCTAACCTGGCAACAATGATGGTGGCAACTACAGCAGCTATAGCAGATGTAAACGCAATCCAGCCAACTTCAACCTACAAAATATATAATAGTTAGTTAGTTATGCCAGTTATTCCCAAGGGGACATTATTTTCCAAATGAAACTGACTGTTTCAACCAACACCTTGGGTGTTATCAGTACCTTAGGAAGCACAGGTACACTATAGTTATACTTGCGTAACGCCGGGGAGCAACCTTGTCCTAAACGTTGATAATAAACACGAGTACAGCGATATGCGAGATACCTCAAATAAAAGCGAATAAACAGTAATGTACGATACAATCCTGTCCTAAATATTATCAATCATTGAGAAAAGACGTTGCGAAAATTTTAAAATACATTTTATTCATTATCTAGTATATAAATTATTACAAACATTTAAGATTTTGACCTTAGGATTCGACAGTCGTTTACTTGGGTGTCCGAATTAGCAAGCCTCTCACATAATAAAATTTCAAAACGAGAAATATAGATCATCAAAAACGTTATAAGTAAAATTATACCGACATCTCGTTCTATTTAATTAGACTAGGTCATTTTGAGACTAACAAACGAATGTGAGAGATGCCACTTTTGTGTCCGAAAATGGTAAAAGGTTATACCTGTGAGACATTATGTTCTTTAAAATTAACATCTATCATTGAGCTCCACGAATCACGGGTTCCTGTAGATAAACCATATATAATAGCTATAAACCAAAACTGACCGTTCCTTGAAAAAGAAACAAAACAAAATAAAATCCACAAGCACTAAATCAATGGGTGATAAATGTCATCGCAATGAAGTCTAGGGTAGATAATCTGAATACGTATCTCCCCCATGGATTAACCCAGAGGTTAGTGGAGTGGAACAGAATGAGACCACTGGGGATACAGAGGACGAGTTTCGTCAAACTGTCAGAAATCGACTTTCAGTTGGTGCACATTTCAACGTCTAATGGAGTGCCAGAGACATAACCATAATCAAAATATTTCTTTCTTTCACACCAGATGACCATAATCCCAATTTTGAGGACGAATAGGAAAGTGCCTGAAAGACCAATATATCCAAAACACCACAGAAATTCTCCGTTTTTAAAATTGCTCTAATATTAGAACTTATTTTCTAAAACTATTAGTTATGTAACTGTTAGCAACTTCTGTATGATTGTTTGAACTTTTTCATATATAATATATATATATATTCAGTTAATCGATGCCGGTACATACCCCTAAACGAACGTTATCTGAAAATTAACCACTGCTAAATATAGGTTGAATCCACTAATTTGGTAAGTCTCCAAGTAAATCATTGACGTATGAGCAGCTTACAATGACGTATGAGCTTATAATGTATGTTACCATTATTTCATGAATATGCTGCAGTGAGCCATGCTGTCAACCTTTTGTTACAAAGTATATTCATCTTTCAAATATTCGTTCAAATCAGATTTCAATTTTATTCATTTTTCTAATTGTCACATCAAAACTAAAGGAAGTGTATTTACCTTATCAGCTGTTTTAATCCGGATTTATAATCTAATCGTTCTGTAGAAGCCGAGGGACTGGGCGGAGAAGGTGGTTTATTAGGAAAATAAATCAACATGGCTATCAACAATAAAACACAGAATGCAAATACTGAAAGCAAATAAATTAAATATGTTCATCATCAACTAACAGTAACAATGGTATGGCTTCCACAACAAATAACAATAAGAATGATATGGCGTTTAACGAATTTAAACTATTTAAAATAATTTGTTTCAAGCAATCAATTCTTTGTTTTCTTCCCTTCCAACCAGTTATAACGATGAAACAGCATAAATATTAAATGTAAAAACTGACAACTTACCACCGTAAGAATAGTAGATGATATTGTCTCTTTCAATTCTCACTACTTCATCTAGTAGATAATAAACACATTTATGTTAAGAGTAAGGGTATATAATAAACACATCTATGATATATTTATTTCCATTAATTGTAAATTGTAAATGATATATTTATTTTTATTAATTGTAAAGGGTTCCGTGTTGCATACATTCAAAAATCGAATTCCAAAAATGCCGGTATTTACAATCTAAATTTATAAATATGACTCAAAATACTGGATTCCATGATAATCTATGGACTGACAGACACACTTCGGGTTACAGACAGCGGCGCCGGTCTTCTGTGAAAACGGAGGAGCGGAGCTTACCGTGTAGGGAACCCGCAAGAAAATTTAACTGCCGCAAACGCGTTTTCTGCTATTCCAGCCCGTGAATACAGTAACTTAAAATGTGGTCCATCATTATAGCCAGGCCCCCATACCCCGCGAGATTGATTGTTGTTTGACCTGAATCCCAAACAACCAATCAATCATCGCGGGATATGCGGGCCTTGCCCACCCGGAGACAATTTATATTAAATAATATTACTAGACCACAATATGCATTAAGACTTCGTCTCGTTATGCCACGTAAAGTATATATTCATGTACCCTAATTATTAGCAGTATTGCATGCATTTAGCTTTTATATGAACCGATCCTACAGATGAATTATGTATATACTATGATCTATACGGTTTGAATCCATTACGCGCGAAATCACGATTAGTGATACAGCGCATGTTTTAAGGTGCCTTATATATTAAAGGCTATGGTGTTACCTCCTGAGACTACAAATAGTGCCTCTCACTGCCAGGTTCTTGAAGAGTGACTTGTTATTCAAGACAGTCTTCACGAGTCTAACTCATAAATAATTCCCCCCACCCCAACCTTTTTATATTCTAATATTCGATGTTTTAAAACTAGGTAATTGTAATTGAATATTATATTTGATGTTTACAATTATGTAATTGTATATTATATCATATTTTGTTATGAAAGTTATTTATTTTTTTTATATGATAATAGACGAAAAAAAACCCCATTACATTAACACCATTCAACTGATGTTGTTCTCTCATTTAAGATTAGTTTAATGTATCCAGAAAGTGAGGTATAAACAAACCTGCACAGTACCTCACAAACCTAACTTCAGGGATTCGTACATACGACATTGATAGGACTATTCTGTTATTGTCAAAATATATATTATACATTACCTATTTCTGCCGTTGTGTTTACAAAAATACTGTAAAATGAAACATAGTATTTATGTTAGGTACAACAATGCTAACTGGCTGTCCACATGCGGGTATCTGTTAAAATATATGGCGGTATATTAGATTCTAAATTCTAACATGCTATCGTCTAATTTCTAACTTTTATTCTAACTACATGCAAATACAAGCAAATATCATTGAATACGGCCATTGGATACAGCCATTGAATAACCTATAGTTGTATTCAATGGCCATTGAATAACCTATTTCTTTATTTGTTCAGTTTAAATTTTAATTATTTTTCTATTATTAAGACGAAAAATGTCTACTTAATTTCGCTTTACATGTTTATAAGCTTATAACATCAAACAAATTTAGAATTTTGATACTTCTACCTAGCAACCATCATTATGACGTCGTTTGGTGTCGCCAGCCTGTGCTTAATTTGGCGATTGAGCACCTGATCGGGACCAGTACGTTGATACAAACGACTCGCTCCAAATCGGCACAATACTAGATCTTTGTACGATCTGGAAGATATCTTTCTCTAGGGTTAGGGTTCGTTTAGGTTTACAAATTACGTGTCAAACGTACAAATTGAAGCTGTAAAAACGGTGGATTGTTGGTAAAACTATTATGAAGGATTAGGGTTAGAAATCGGGGAGTAAACACAGAAAGATATTTTCCAATTGTACAAAGATCTAGTATCGTACCTTCGTCAGGTTGAATGGTGTGGCGGAGTGTCAAAATTGAAAATAACATCGAACGTGATATGGTTTGCAAATACTATTTCAAAGGATTAGAAGAATTTTATTTTCTTTTTCTTTTTACAGTTGCGCCAATTAAGATAGAACATTTAATTAGTTTTTTATTGTCTTTGCCTGTTGTTGCTATAAACCTGCTTTATCTAAATTAATGATGACGTGTATAAAATATCATAAACACTTTAACTCGAACCGTGTGCATACGTAAATAATAAATATATTTTATGGTTGATTACTGTTTATATTTTTAATTACATATATCTGGGGCTTGGGACCTCTATATGTCTTATCCTACCCTGCCTTCACAACATCTGTCCATCGTTACAAAAGCTTGACATATTGACATACTTACCTTCTATTTTGATCTGTTTCATTCAATCTTTTAAAAGTTTCAGGAACCAAAAAAGGACCTTGAAAAAAAAGCAAACAAGACATCGAACTGAATGGATTTTAACCGAAAGGAGATCAACCTCTTTGTACAATTAACAGTTGGAAATCGAGTCAATCTGATTAAAATATAGATCTAAATTTTGTCCCCAACATATGGCCGGTTTGCTAGAAAGGTCATGTCGGAAGGTCACATAGACGAATTTTGACAATATTATTTAACTTTGATTTTAATAAAAAAAACAACCAAAAACTACTTTCATAACTCAATGGAAACCTTAAACTCATCACCACTTTGGTTTGCAGATAGCAGCACAACCGTTTTTAACTTCGAAAATCTTTCAAAACTAAAATTAAGTTGATACTTAGTATTATGTCTAAAGCCAATTACGCCCATCTTCATATACGCCCATCGACATAATGAATATCAAGGGGAAGTAAAGGTGGACGGGTGGAAAGCTGGATAGAACTTGGCTTTGTCGTGTACTTACCAAGGATGAATGACAAGGCTATGAACAAAGTCTGAGCACTGTACATGATGGATGTTGCAGTGGCTCTCTGGTTAGGCGGAAACCACGTAGATGATATTGTGGTTACAGCCCCCATAGCTATAGGTCCCGCCATTCCATTCAAACCTTGGCCAGCATGAGTTAACCTAAGATGATAGACAAACAGAACTAGAGGTTTTTGCAAACAGTGGAAAATTGATCCTTGTCACAAAAAAGGATTCCTGCCAGATATTACACCTTAACTAGAACAAGGTGAGGCTATTTGCCCGAAAATTTTGTTTGTCACCCGAATTTTCAGAATGAATCTATCATTAACTAAAGGAGTTTTTCATAAATGTTATTGCGTGAGGTCTTAGTATTCAAACCATAAACCGCGAGCGATTTCATTTTACAATTATATTTCTATGATATATGGTCTCATTCTCTGATGTGTGTGCCCGAAAAACGGAAATACATTGCCCGAAAAATTCGCCGAAACTCGTGGCAGCCGGGGAGGTGGTGGGGGGGGGGGGGGGTTCTATGCCTATGTTTTTGTTGTATTAAATATAAAGAAACTAAAGAAAGAAAGTTACCACGTAATGTTTGGCGTATTTTTGTCAATACACTTTATACCAGTACCAGCTGTCACTAATAGCATACCAGCTAGAACAGTATATCTTAAGCCTGTAATAAAATATCATTTACTTCATTATGGGACCACGATTATGTATAGTTCAGTTAGCCGCATCTAACTGCTCCCCAGCAGGACGTTAAACCCCATTTGGTTCCCGTTCACCCAGTCCACTGAGTTCATCTAGATATTAATTCGCAATAGAATATTGGAAATATAATAATACTAGCACGATAACCGGTCCAAGCTACCACTATACCCCAAATTTCAGACTCCGGGCAGACCTAGTGTAGCCGCCAACCCCGAACAGACCGGCTTCGCTCGGGGGCCATAACTCCGAAACCGGAAGTGGTAGAAGACTAACGCCACCTGGCCTATGTTACTCCCCGGTCCGAGCTACCCCTATACCCCAAATTTCAGACTCGGGGCAGACCTAGTGTAGCCGCCAACCCCGAACAGACAGACAGACAGACAGACAAACGACAGTCACAAATATTAGTATAGATAGGTGCTATAGGTTATTATAAATTTTCAAGTTTACCTTTTCTATCTGTCAACCAAGCTATTGGTAAAGCCATAGGAATAAAAGTAATTGGTCCCCAATTATTAAAGAAAGCTATATCGGAGTCTGTCCAACCATAGGCATGTTCACTAGTAGCTGCTATGGGTCCCCAAAAAATCCAGACCAGAGCTTGGATCCCAGCCAGCAAGGAAAATAAGAATACAATGTACCAACGTCTGGCGTAAAGCTGCAAAGATAATTCATACAATCATTATGCAGTTTGGTCAGTAGACTATAAAAAATCTGTGATGGATTCGGGGTATTTTGATACCAATATATATTATGACTTCATTAAAGTTTTTAACCCACGTTTTAGAGAAAGTTAAACAATCTTTTAAAATTATAATTTGTCAACTTTAGTTTTGTTACTAATTAACCAAAATAGCAATGTGGACTTTTACGACGTGTCTCCAGATTCCATGTTATGTTCTTATAGCAATGGTGCCAGACGTGCAATGCTGGTTATCCTTGTATATCTATTATAAGGTTTTGTTGTTTACTATTTTTAATAATGTCTACCGACCTGGATATTTTGATCTGTAATTGACGGTTTCTCCTCGGGCACGTAGATGGTGTTGATTGATAGAGTTCCGTTGTATAGCGGATTATCAAAACCATTCGAACACTTTTCAAGACCCCCGAACTTACCCGAACTCATTCTAGAATAAAAGACGATATGTAATAAAATTTTAATTAAATCACGATGCTGTAGTTGTAAACAGCGACCTTTGCTTCGATATATCTATGGTAATAATAGTCTTATTATCAAGTTGGAATTCCAAAGAAAAGTCGACACGTCGACGCCTTACATTTTGCCATAACTTCTACGTTTTGAATTTCGCGTTCTGAAGGGTTGAAAAGTAGAAATTACGAATGGTAGCTATATGCTTCCATAGGAAACATCGCATTCCTCTAACACCGCCCCTTTTTGTGACAAAAACAGCAATAGTAATATACGTGTCTAATGTCTAATGCATTGGCAAATCTGATTTGCTTCTGAATTCATCGGCAGCCGACCATAATTATAAAAAAAGAAGAAAATAATAAGTTAATCTTCGGATCGATTTTTGTCTCCGACTTCAATTTTAGCCCACTTACCTGTTTGCAGTGCAAGTCGGGCTCATTTATTCTGAATTAGCCCACTCACCTGTTTCCTGTACTAGTCGATCTATATTTATCTCCAAAATTTGTCATATAGTTTGCCCTCACCCATGTTAATGTTAACTGTGAAAACGATAAAATAAAAAAATCACAGATTTTAGATAGATAGTTGTTATCAAACAACTTTGTTTCAGATTGTTGGATGGATAGAAATATCTGCCAAAATGTTAAAGCAGATTAGACACCATAATGCTTTGTTATATTTAGCATTTATTGATTGTCTCATTTCTACAAATTGAATAGATCTAATGATGACCGTGTGTGTTTCTCTTGTCTGTCTGTTTGTCCTCCGGTTTGCTTTATGTCAGGAGGTTAGTCATCACTGAAAAAATGGGGGTCACCTTCTGTGTAGATATGTAATGCCACACAATGGCGTACTGAGAGTTTATGCCCCTTGCGTCTTACGATAAGTGCCACGCAAGACGTGCGCGGGTGTTATCGGGTAGTGTGCGAGTAAGGGACACGCTAAAATGTCGGGGGTTGATATTTTGCAATAATTAACTTGATTTTTGTTTGTGGACAATGTAAATATGCTCTTCTCGGATATGACAATTACGAGCGTGCTATGACACTGGAATCCAGCATGACGTCATCGCAGTCATCTTGTTCATCGATGCGCAATTGCCCAAGGAACAAGCATGCCATGTCAATCGTAATTGAATTGGCGAGGCTTTAAGCCTTTTTTGAAGAGCATCTATGCCAAGAAGAAGAACAACAAGATGATGAGTAGCGCTTGGGACCCAGTTCTTGGTTCAAAAACACTTTGGAGGGATCAGCAGAGTTTATATATTGACAGAATATTGTGTATTTGTTTTGTGGTTCTTGTTGTTGAATAATTGTGTATTATTGATAAAAAAAATTCACTTTCTTAAAACCCGCTACTTGTTTTATCAGACCCTTTACAAAAGTAACCGTATTTATCTTAGGTAACTGGTAACCAAGTATTTTATCTCTTGCTATTAACATCACCTCACATAATATTTCTGTTTCTATACACACAGTTAAACATGACATCTCTAGGAAAATCAACTCCAAATCAACAATCACGTGGCCTAACCCTGTTTACATCTCGTAACCTTGGCGAAATCTGCAGGTGGCCTTAATATTTAGATCTGAACGTATAAGGACACCCCGATCAGTATTGGAGTTATATTACTTCCAGTTTTACGAAACTACTAAAGCGAAGGGTCGCCGGGTAAACAGCTAGTACCTAATCAATCAGCTTGATCAGATGCTATCCACCCGGTCTCTCTAAATCATCTGCAACGGAATCAGATAGTGATTGACTGTATGATAAACTTGATGCTGTGTATTTCCTTAAAATGGGGTTTAATGTCCACTTGAAACAAAATAGGTCATTTCGGGACTAATATATGGTTCATTTTTTTTTCAATAATTCCTATGCACGAATGGGTCTTTAGCAGGAGCAGTAGAAAACCGGGGGATCCAGAGAAAACCCAAGAGGTCGGAGGGTTATTATTTAGAATCAAGACCTCGCAAACCACGTATGGGGTTATGGATAAATGAAATGGGTTTTAGCGTACTACCTTTCTGCAGTATTAGGTTATTATACCAACACTATAACCTCTAGATCAAATGAAATTACAGGTTTGATTTTGTGTAAAAATAAAATACATTAAGGGGGGGGGGGGGTCAATATCTTTGTTTTAGGTCAAAATAAAATGTGCAATGGGGTTGAAGTCATATGTTAAGTCGCGATTAATAATCGAGTATACGCAATTCGATTACATTTCCATTCTGCAGATAATCCGGAAGTCGGTCTGTTCTCATATTTTAGATCTTTCTTTGCTTACATTGTTGGCTGTCGAACTTAAAGGCATCTGTCCCTGCATCTTTAATAGAAATAACCATGGAAATGACCAATATATCGTTCACTTCCACTGACGCAATTTGAAGAGATACTTCTTGGCTTAAAACATTGTTATACAATGTCTAGAATTTTGATCAGAAGCAAAAATTTGAAACATATTTTGTTTAAGTATCGTATTTATTGCCTTTTATTTACATGAGTATTGTACAGGTACCTACGAAGACGCCATTAAGGCATGACGTTATCCACCCAATTTATATGAAACATAGAAACTTAACTTGTAACTTTCGACACAAATGAAGAAATGTGTTTATACAGACAAAAGTATCACAGTTAATGCTAGAGGAGCATTCAAAACGTTATTTGAATAAAAGAAAAGTATTGTATGATGTCAAAAGGGTGTATGGTGAAATGAAAGACTACAAGTGTGAGATGTGGAAAACCAAACGTCCTGCCATGTATATTGATGAGCTTCTCCAGTCAGCTTCGATGTAATTTCGTCGGTATGAAAATTACAATGGTTTTTAAAAACGTACATTTCTTTCATATGCTGCGTGCTATTTAAAATCAAGCGATTATATAACAAAAATAATGGATATTTTTCCCAAAAAGACACAAACTATGTGAAAATAGGTAATCTCCCTTCGCTAACGGTAATCGATTACGAATTCGAAATTGTAGTCCTGCTGAACACTTTTAGTAGTTAATACATTAGCTAAACATTATATTTTAGTGATGATTTAGCCTCTACGGCATTAAGACATTCAGTAGGTGGGATAAAATCATCGGGGTTGCTAATTCCCTGAACGATGTCGTAGAAGTTAGTTGTTATCGAGTCGGTGGCGTTGAAATCACCAACGATGACCTCTCTTACTGGGTAGCAATCCTTCAAGCTGAAAACTCCGATCCACATCTCTCCTGAAAAAGAAATGGCAGTAACATTAGTTATTACATGGAGTGGAGGATTGATCAACTGCACCCAGGTGCAAGTGCGAAGAGGCGAAAATTTTCTTCTTGGCCTTGGCCTACAATATCCGATAACTAAACAGGCATTAAGAGCCAAATCTGTCTATTACAGGTCTTTCTTTGTTCCTCAAATGTTATATAAATTATTAATTAGATATTTAGTAACATGAAAAGACCATAATCAACTCTCGATGCCATCGGATGCCCCCGATATTATGTAGATTAGAACAGTTATTTTTTAAAAAAAGGCTAAGACTCGAATGACAAATACGGTGGTTACGATCAATGCACACGTTTTGTCGAAACTACAACCATTAATAACTTCGCTAAAAATAAAGTAATTTAAATGAAATTTTCAATAATATATATTCATTTTGCATTATTGAAATATTATAACGAAAACGGTCAGCTCTTTATCTAAATCTTACATTATGCTCCTTTAATTACTCTGTCAGAATTATATGTCTGCTCAAATAATTTTTATTTTTTTCTTCCTATGTTATGCAATACAAGAACAAGCGGTTGCTATGCAAGATACGCCCGCATTTTGCAAGAGATGGGCAGAGAACAAGCTAAAAACAAAATGATTTTTCGTACAATCAGGGGCCATAATTCAGGAAGTTACGGTCCGATACACGAAAGTATATAAAGGACCCCAGATATATGGGATATAAATATATATTTTAAGTTTCATCAAAATCAGTTAAAAATTGTGACCTCTAGAGGGTTCACAACCTTGATATTACATACTCATACGGTTACACTATTTGCGTACGTGGAGCGGACATTTTGTCGGACAATTTCGGTCCGATTTTTACGAAATTCGAACTCTACCGTCATTATGGTGTAACGGTAATATATTTTTAAATCGTATAATATTTGTGACTCTAGCAGGGTCCACAAGCTAAACAAGCATTTTCTCGTACAATCAGGGGCCATAATTTTCTCGAAATTCGAACTCTACCGTCATTATAGTGAACGGTGATATATTTGAATGGTTTTTAAAGTCGGATAAAAATTGTGACCACCAGAGGTTCCAAAACTGGATTTTTTCATACAACCAGGGGCCATAATTTTGGATGTTACGGTCTGATTTGCGCGAAATATCGAAAGGGACCACGATCTTTGGGTAATAAACATATGCGCTTAGAAACACTTCACGTGTAATGAAGCGCTATATAAATCGAACAATAATAATATTTTAAGTTTCATCAAAATCGGATAAAAATTGAGACCTCTAGATTGCCCACAAGCTAAACATGATTTTCGTGCAATCAGGGGCCATAATCCATGATGTCAAGGTCCGATACATATGTCAATTTCGATAGGAATCGAGATCTTTGGGATATAAACCTACATTTCAAGTTTCGTCAGAATTGGATAAAAATTGTAACCTTTAGGGTGTCCACAAACAAATTGTAGACGGACGGACATTAGCGGCGACATTATACGTCCACATGAAAATGTGGGCGTATAAAACTAGTTAGATGTTGAGGTGCCAATAGTGTCGTTGACACGGGCACTGGGTACCGTTTCTAAGCCGCTGCCATAATAATTGTATAAATCGAAACGGAACACATACCGGTATCAGAACACTTAGCCTGAAGTGTCTGGCTCATACCTTGGTCTTTCTTTTGGCTACTATGTGGTTGACGGTGCCTTGTAGGTATTCACTAGCTCAATAATTAATGACTATATGAGTCAGTATTTTTAATTCAATCATTTAATCTACAAGGGGGTTATAATGCAATTTCTGTAATTTATATTCGCCATCTATACCTTTTTTGTGGGTCGAAAATGTGACCTAATGTTTCTCATAGGAACATATCTTTAGCGGTGGACGTTGACCTTCTATATAGATTATTATTGTTATCTATACTCTGTAGTGGTGTATGTAGAATGATATGTATAAGAGGGTGAGGGTGGTCAAAAACCTGATAAAGTGAAAAGTGGCAGCAATAAAATCGGCAGTATGGTCTTTGAAGAAAAGCAAAGCATCAGTAGCAATTTTAAAATACCCCCATGCACTCGATTTGTAGCCGCTTTACCTTGCCGATGAATAGTGGTTCATAAGATAAATCCCAGATATATTTCAGTTAATAAAACTGAGCAAGACTGAGTCGAAGGGTCTACTCCCAAGCAACTACCGGAACGTATACCTTCGGTTTTATATTGTTTTCAGCTAGGAATAGACTGTATCGAATAGTTGTGTTTATTAGGGCCTACAATAAAGAGATTGGAAGCAAGCACTCAAAAAGAGTTAACGTAATCTGTTTTGGCGATAATTTCCATAATATATTATTATGAGCTGAAAGATTAATTATCTTAATTATGGCCTTTGATTGGCTTCCTTTGAAGGGGTGTGGGTGGGGCAGTGAAAATAAGGACTTTCGGAGCATCGACCTACAATTTAATATTTCACTGACGGTTCCTGTATTCATAATTAATTCGGTTCTACATGCGTGATCTTTATAGACTTTGAATTTAGCATTAAGCTCGTCCTTGTACACACCCCTTTAAAATGATTGTTAAATAACCACACTAAGAGCAAACACTAAATACATACATATGTAATTTTAATCATTTGTTAAACATTATATTTAAGTGATGATTTAGCCCATATGGCATTATTAAGACATTCTGAAGGTGGGAGAAAATCGTCGGGGTTGGTAATTCCCTGAACGATGTCGTAGAAGTTGGTCGTAATGGAGTCGGTAACATTAAAGTCGCCAACGATTACTTCTGAGATGGGATAACAGTCTTTTAAACTTAAAACGCCTATCCACATTTCACCTGTAAGTATATAGAAAGCGGAAGCATTAGCGGAAGGGCTGCAGGGGCGGGACGGTATAGCATTTGTTTATTTCTGTTTACTTTGCAGGGATCAGTCTCAAAAAGGTAAAGCATATTATGCACCAAAGGTACAGGTATCGAAGCTTCGCACATGCCAGTGCACCATTGCTAAAATAAACAAAGTTATATAGCGGAGTTATCAAAGCTTAGCATGTCTCTTCTGGAGCTTCATAGCTAGGGATAGCTGAACCAAAACTTCTGATTAGCTATAAAGTTATAAAGCTAAACAGGTTTCATTTCCGAAAAAGCAAAACAAAAGCATGGCGTTAATTTGGTCACACAGCAAAGCACCATTCATGTTTTGGCCTCACGGCTAAGTTTATAGTTTGTCGAATGTGAAGCTGCACTCGAATTTCTGGGTATAAGCTATGAAGCTAAGCATTCTAATAAGATCAAAGGATGTAATCTAAAATGTTGAACGGCCAGGGATTGTTGAAATTGGGTCTAGTACTTACGTTGTCTAAGTGGGATTCTGTCAGACCATTCCTGGGCGTAAACTTGTTCTGAAGGACCGCCGATGTAAAACTCATTCTCAAAGGTGGCATTTGGTGGAATACCATAATTTCTCCATGGTCTAGGGATGGATTTAGTACACTGTTTAGTTTTCAAGTTGTAATCGTATTGAACATTTTCGTTGTTCAAGATCAAAAATTCGTGGAACCTGGAAAAAACCCCAACAAACATAGATTAGGTGCTGGATATGGCTATAAGTTTGACAGGCCTCGAGATTTAGGAGGTCTCCGGCCAACGTGTATGATCTTTTTGACAGTGTCATAAGCCTTTCATACACGTGCTGTAGTCTTAAACGTCTGTCATCATCCGGCACTGCATAGATTACTTTACTCAGGCGCGTGATCTCAGAGATAGCAAGACCAATTTATTAGATAAAGCATTTGATATACTCTTGGTAGGTGAACCATTCCTTACCGCTCTTTTGCCATTCCAATGTACTGAACTTGATACGCTGTTTGATATTGATGACAGAAGTGACGTTACTGAGACCTTATGCATGGTTTCCCTTTTTAATGACATTAATATGTACTTCTCAGAAACCGTATACTACAGACAAATTCAGGAGTGACAGGCATCTTTGCATTAGAAACGCAACGTCCACGCATTAAATTAGTCCATAAAATTGCCATTTAGTATTTATGGACAAAATTGGTAATACTATATTTCACGGTATCGCCGGGGGTAAAATATTTGACGATCCATGTTTTATCATGGGGAAACCGGAACAGGGTATTTTTTAGTACAGTAAGTAGTGGGGTAAATGCTCCACTGTTTCTTCACTTTCTTATAAAGCAGTGAGGCAATACCGATGAGGTCAAGTCAAAATCACGTGCTTTTGGTTCACTTTCTAAACCCATATTAGGTATGCTGAAATTCATAATTTCCTCGCGCCCGACCCCAGTGCCACAGATTCTTTTAAAATATTCTACAACGAAAAGGGTGAGAAGTAGAACGGGGTCTTGTTTTATCATAACCCATGTTCATTGTACTTACTGTCGCCCTGGGAAAACGACATTTTCTTCTTCAAATATAACCTTTCTCTTATTTACAGCATCATAGGTGATGTAGTATCGGTTGATAATATCATCAGCATGGTTGTATTGAGAAGCTCTCATCTGTAATTATACATTAGGGACATGATCACATTGAAGGAGAGTTGCTGATTAGTGCAATCGACAGGAGTCGTATATCAAAGAGCTGGACACGGTACACAATCAAGGACTAAACATCAGTTTATGCATTCATTACATAAAAGTAATGATACATGTACTATGGTGATCCTGTACCCTCAGCAACATTTGCACAATATGAGACCATTTATGTTCGACATCCTCTTGCTTCTCCCATATTTAGTGATGAGCTCATTCAAACATTACTGGCTTTATAAGCATTTTATTTTTCATGGTCACATTTTCACAATGTATGACATAATTGACCTCGAGAGCACATATTTAAGATATATATTTAGTCTTGGAATGTGCCCATTTTCTATAAGTGATAATGTTAAATTAGCAATGTCGATCAATATATCTTCCGACAATATCTATATAACAAACTCTTATCAGATATAATGTTATCATTATATTAATGTCTTATTGAACTTTGATTGGAAATTTGAAACCTTGTACGAAATGGGTTATCAAGGGACGTGACAGTGATATTGAAACGATCTCGAGTTGAAACTACTCGGACAAGGACTATATATATAGCTTATTTATAGACTTTATTGATAAAACTCTTTTGACGGATACATCAGCAATTTTTAATTCGTTTTTTTTTATCTGGAAAAGTTATTTAGTTCAATAAGGTTAACGATCTTTTAATCATTATCATTGTTCATTGATTTCAAAAGCGTGGCTTAAGCAATAATGGAGAAAAAAATTATCTATACGCTCAAATCCAAATGGATTATTCTTCATCAGGCCTATGATTATGTTTTTCTTGTTTCATTAAGTCTGCATTAGAGAAGAATGTTACAAATCTTTAAAAAAAAAGAAAAAATCCAAAACATGTTTATCTTACTCCGTGGGTACCCGTCATTCCTCGCATATAAATAATACTTAGGCGCTTTCCGCAAAGGGGAAAATAAATAAGATTAAAGATTAAAATTTGTCATTTACAGCTTTTCAATCAGATTCTCGTTACCAAACATAAAACTTGTCCCCAATAAGCAGAAATTCTGAAATGGCGCAAGGAGCTTGGGAATTCTTGTCTTCAATTCAATTAATATCAAATATTAAACTGATAATTTTAAATAAGTTCAAATGAAACAAATATTTTGTTTTATACTTACGGTCAATTCTGTTGGCGTTATACATGGCGATGGAAGCTGGGCAAAAGCCAGGGACAAGAGACTCAGCAATACAACAGCTAACTTCATCTTGATGCGTGGGTACTGATGTGGATGTGGTGACAAAGTAGGGGAGTATATCACACGATGTAAGTAATATATACCCCAATACTTACCTAGTCATGTGATCATATACATATAACACGTGGCTAATGTCCCATGTGATGGAAAGATGCTACTTAAGATGATGGGTATGATAAAGATAGTGATGAAGCTTGTTAATACTTACATGTTAAGTTCCAGATAAGACGTGTAATATATATAATTTATCTCAAAATTAATAGCGTATGTAGCGGAGAACATGGTCGGAAAAATATTGTTTTCCAGATTCGCCCATCAAAGTATTGAAAGGAATCACGCTGTTTTAAGAAAAGCGATTTTGTTGATTTACGTAAAGCAATATTCGTATCCTGGCTGAGTTAAGGAAAATAAACAGTTGTTGATTTAAGGACAATAATTCTGCTACAGTAGTTGAGCTAGGGAAAATAATTGTTCTACAGTAGTTGAGTCAGGGAAAGTAAATTTCCTATCGTTGTTGAGTTCCTAAATTTGTGATAAATACATTTACGATATAAGTTTGTTATCGCTGAAGTTCCGCTACAAGGTCCTCCCTACAAAACAAACTTTGAAAAGCTTATAACACCAGGAACCCAAATCCAGAAAGTTCCAAGCAAAATGTTTGCACTAACTCGATTTAGGGCCAGATGAAAATTGTAATAATTGTCAAGTAATCGCTATATTTATGCTAACGTTTGTGAAGTAGACATAGCATTAAATATTGGTGAAAACACCCGATGCCTTCCGAGGGTGAATTATCACAATTTTCATCTGGATTTGTGTTCCTGGTGTTATAAGATTTCCAAAAATGTAGTTTGTTTTGTAGGGAGGACTATAGCGGAATTGTGTTTTTAAGCAAGTTAAAAATTTTGGCTGCAGGCCTACTATACACCATAAAGTAAAATCATTTTGGCCTCTGTGCGTTCTTGATTGTCTTATGTGGCGAATGTCTAAGTGTACCGGCATACTAATCATCACATCTGTACTGCATACAGGGCCTATTTAAGGTTTTATTGACGAAGCACCTTCTTAAATAGTGACCAATTGAGCGTGACCAAAAGGAACTGACAGTCTCGCCAAAATTTGACTGTTCAAAAAGACACAAAAACAAAATGATTTCCCAACTCTTGACAGAACTTCACATCTGCTCCCACCATGACCCTTTATCAGCACTATGAAATTAGTAGGAACCTTCTGAAATAGGGACCAATTGGTCATGACCATAATCGTGTGTCAGCATCATTGGTAGTCCCAAAGAAACGTCCAAAATCGACCCAAAAGCCGACGAACCTACACAATGATATGAACCCAAAGGCGTTCTCTTTTGCACACTGACGGGCATCTTCAATAGAAGGCTTGATCTCGCTTTCACTCCGTACATCTTATCCAGATGTTGTAAAACTCGCAGTCGTTGCTTCAGGAACATGACTGGCGGGTAGCAATGCATCGCTAGGGTTTCTGACATTTGCATGCAAAATACAAGCATTTGAAACAGTGAGCAAAGGTGGAAAGAAATCATGAGAATGGGTACCAAGCCCAACGCAATCACTGATCATAATGATAAATGATGGCGCTCCAACAGTTTCCAGTAAATCTTCTCAGAGTGAGCGAGAATGGGGATCAACGTTCACTAACACAGACTAGGTCCTTTCTGGGCTAACATATTGTTCAACTATATTTCAATAATTCACTTGAGGTGTTTAGATGTGGGAGGAAACTAGAGAAAATTTATTGGTCAATTTAAATCAACATTAATGTTGTTATCTTACCATGAAAATTGGACTTCTGATATCCAATATGAAAATTTTAAAATGAACGAGGCTAAACCTATCTCATGTAGGAGAATACTACGGGTGTAGACTGAGACTCCACGGATTGGGGGGGGGGGGTCACGGTGGCTAAGTGGGTTAGACGGTGGCTCACTAGCCTGGAGGTCGGGTGTTCGATCCCTGCATTGGCCGAGAAAGTTCGGCCAGATTTTCCGGTGTGGTTTCCCCCTTGTCAGTGATGCAGGACGGAGGGCCTGACAAGGACAGCTGTCTAGTCGTTCGGATGAGACGAAAAAAACGAGGTCCTGTGTACACATTGGCATGCACATAAAGATCCCTTGACAGTTGGAATTCGATATAAGAGTAGGCCGTAGCGCCGCTGTCCGTGCGATATTACCCTCATAGAACAGTGTATGGCGTATGCCCGTGTAGCCCAGTTCGAAATAGGACGTTAAACCCCATTTTACTTCATTTAATTTCATTTCAGACCCTTTGCTTATTTCTCCAAACATAACTGATAAGAAATTACAGTAAAAACAGAGTCGATTGAATGTAAATCAGTTTATATACATTTGTGTTACATTATTATATGCGTTGCTACCAATTTGTGTCCAGTTCTAGTTGTCAAAGAATATCATTTAGCTTCTTTAACTCGCCTACAATCTTCATTCTCTCATTCACACAGATTTCACATTTTTGAAGCACATATTTTTCAACCTAAGGCATGTCTCCTGTAGGCACGCTCAAATAGGCCCTGTCTGTATTATGTCTCGCAAGTCAAATTAGTGTATGTAAGTTGTCTTTCTAGTTGAGATAGACACGTCCGAAAAAATTAAGTTCAAGAGTAAAGGAAATATACAGATTGGACTGGTGCCCTGGGTTGATTCAGAAGGTGGAAAATAACGAAGAGCTGGCAGTTTAAATAAGCCAACAGTAAGGCTGATTTTCCCGCCAAAATCCCAAAATAAATAGATGACACATTTTAATTGATTGCACATTTATCTTTTTCAAAAGTATTGATCAATCAAACTGATTTATCTCTGCTTAAGTCTAAACATAAAATGTTCACGATCAAACTCAGTCAGGTTTTGAAGTACCTTGCAGTGAAACTATACACTAAGTTTCATCACTCTCCATCATAGACCAATGAAATTGCTTAGCTCTGCTTAGCTTTAGTAGGAAATGTTAATCATAGAACTCTATCAAGACAATCACCTAATGAACATCAACATTAAGTTTAAACATTCTACCTCAATTAAAAGCAGCGTTGTTATGTTCCAAAGTCTTGACCAATCAAATTGCTTATCGCTACTTAGTCTAAGAAGAAAATTCTCATCATCGAACTTAGTTAAGGTATTGATATACTAAATCTATATTCAGAGTTTCACCGATTAGAACGAAAGTTATCTCTTCCAAAGTCTCAACCAATCAAATTGCTTATCTCTGCTTAGACTTAGTAGAAAATGTGCATGATTCAACTCTGTCAAGGCATTCACCTAATAGACAACTACACCAATTTTGAAAATTCTACCTCATTTAGAAGAGTTATTGTTTTCCAAAATCTTGACCAATCAGATTGAAGTCTCTACTTTGCCTAAGCAGAAAATACTCAGCATCGAACTTTGTTAAGGTATTGATGTAATTAAACTATACATCATCACTCAAGTACGGACAGACAGACCCATTTAAATAGTTCCCTGTTTTCTTCCAAAAAGGTGGGGGACAAATATTTAAAAGTATGTGCCTGTCTAATTTTGGCGTTGGTTTGCACCTTGGTCATATTGGGACTAATAAATATTACTCTTAAGCTTGAAGTGAAAACAGATCTTACACCATCTGATCACTCATCTCTTAAATTTGGCTAGAACTGTCAATCTGCTAGAATTGTCATCTTTGTTACATATTAGGTGTTGATTTGTGATATAACAATTACTAATATGAAATAACACATCAGTAATGCCCAAATAAACACTTCTTTTTCTAAGTGAAATCAAAGAAGGTTTAGCTCTTTTAAGAAAAACAAACTGCTATGTAGTTTTAGTATGATATGATTTTTTACTATAAATCCCAATTCCATTTTACAGATTATATTATAATGAATATAATTAATTATATATAATAATAATAATAATATTACCATTTTTCTTAAATTACAATTTTTCTTAAATTACAATTTTTTTTTAATTAAGGTTCTAGCATATCAATCATCCACTAATAAAACACGTAATCACATGACTTGTATGTATTAGCCAGAACAAGAAGCTCACAACATCGTTTCACAAAATCGTAGAAAAATATGAAAGAAAATGAATTTTTGAATATACAATAAAAATGTTTTATGTTGAAATTTATGATCTGATGAGTATAAACATTTTTACATCTATTGAATGATAAACTTAAAATAATGTATCCAATATAAATTTTAGCACAAAGTCTTGCTGATAATATTCAGACAAGATGCATTTTCGAACTAAAATGAATTCTTGGCTCCCTAAACCTTACCTAATAAACAATTTCTAAAATCTTTCTGCTTTCCTGGTTATTCTAGTCCATCTAATTCTTGTTTGCCATCTTCTATATTACTTTAACAATTCCAAACATAAAATATTTTAATGTGAAAACATAAATTGCCCATAAATTCATACTAATATAGGAACGACATGCTTTAGTCACATTCTAATATTGTAAGAAAATAACTAGTTTAAGTATTAATCAGTATGTAAGTAGACAAATTCGATGATTTTCTTTCAATTTTACAAATTGTCTTGAATCACACTAAATTTATATGAACATTAATGCTGAAGTTAATATAAATATCATGGTTAGCTAGCACTTAAAATCAGTAAGAAAAGTTATGAACATATAGTGCATTTTCAAGTCTTAATTTAATCTAAACAAAAAACAACAAAACAAACCCCAACCAAAACCACAGGTTCGAATAATTGGTAATTTAATAAGTCAAATTTCATTGAATAGTCCATCGTATCAGGATAATATGAACAGTATAAAAAAAACCCTTAAGATTGTGATATATATATAGACCTAAAAATTGTGATATATAGAAAAAGGAAATTAAGTCATTAAATTACCTATATTATATATGTCAAAATAAATTATCACCATTTTTATTTTAGAAGTGAAAAAAAAAAAAAAAAATCAAAACAAACCCAGGAGTAATACATTGAAAAACTGGTTTGCATTGTTTAAGGAAATAAAACAAGGAAGTTCTCCATATCTGAAATTATTTGCAATGAAATGAAATAAACTAAAACTTCACAAATCAACAAAAATCATAACAAATGAATACAGCATACAAAATAGTTCCTGAGGTTTCTTTCAAGAGTATAGTTAGTTTCAATCAACTGTTGAATATTGGGCATGATTTCGAAGACATTTATCCATATTTTAATGAAAACAAAAAGTACCTATTTTGTATGTGTATTGAAGTATAGTAATCGAAATATGCAAATAATATTCAGGAGAAATTAAAATGAAAATAAAAAGAGGCAAAATGAATAAATTGTGATAAATTATTAAGAATATAAAATAGACATTAAAAAAATAAAGGGTGATAATTTATTTTCAAATTCAAAAAATTTGAGTGAGAGAAAAAAAAAATCAACTTCTTTTGTGGCACTAATATGGAATAACTTAAATGATACTTATTAATATTTCTTGGCAGAAGTAACTGTACACTTTTCAAGGCTAATAAACAAGAAATTATAAAATAGAACCCCTAACTGTAACGCATAAAAATATTTATTCAAAAATATCTTCTTTTTTATTGTAACAATAATTATTGAAATATACTAATGATTATCAGAAAATTGAGCACTAGTCAACAGCTAAATTCAAATTTTTAGAAAATTGTATATAAAATTTGACGTCTGTTAAACATCAAATTTCAATTTAGTACTAAAGAGTACAAAAAATTTCATTCAAAAATACAACATATATGCACACTTTAAAAAAAAAAAAAAAATGTCATGCAGATTGTTGAGTTATTTAAGGCAGTATTAAAACAATGTTGAGCTCTAAACAATATAATGGACTATTTTATAACACATATATCAAAGAAATGAATAAAAAAAATCCCTGGACAAATATTAAACCATGAATATGCACATTGTAAAAAGTAATGAAAACTTAAAATGGCTAAAGGTTTTTGATATGGGTCAAAGCTTAAATTGTTGACTTCACTGGATTTTATATGATCATCTGTTTATGGGATGGAAGTTTATCTACATGTTCAAAGTCAGTGAAAATAAAGATAATTTCAGTAAAACAAGCCAATTTTGCTTAATAGTTTGAAACTAAAATTTAATCTAGAGCTGATCAACCCAATCATAAATTATATCTAATTTAAAGTGGTTTAGCTTCTTTAATGCCTATTAGAATATTGACTCAAGACTTCTATTTCAAAGTTTGTACAATTGTAGACTAAAGGGACAGGTATTATATTTGAAATAATCATTTGTTTCATTAGATCTACATCTAAAATACTTTTACAGTCATATTAAGCAAATTCCCCCAAAACTGCTGATTAGAATTATTTTGGCTATTGCAATAATTCCTGAACATTTGATGTTAATATAGCACTATAAGAAATGGGATATTTTAAATTGCATATTGCCGAGCAGTGCCTCTCTTTAACCCAAAGTTTAAAAAAAAATTCCGTAAACCTACTGACTTCCTATAGCTCTGAATCATACAGAACTTGGCTCATCACTAATGAAAATAACATACCAGATTAACCCAGTTCAATGCTTTAATTTGACCAAAAACAAAGAAGACCCACCTTATAAATATTCTGACCATTTTTATGACAACTATACATGCTTGTAAATTCTTTGCCATTATCATAGTACAAGAAACAATTCATTTTATTTTTTTAACTATGACTGTAATATACTATGTTCTTAGAGGGATACACCACAAGTTTTGTGAAAATGAAAAGGTTGAACACTATGTTTACATACATTTATATTCAGCACTTATTATTCTATATATACAAATTAATTAATATCTTCATAAGATATCCAACAAATGACAATTTAGAAAATAAAAATCTGTTGAGAAGGAAAAACATTGTATAGATTTCATATTGAGACATTTGCAAAAAATCTGAGAACACAGAAACACATTTGACTGATTGAAAGTTAAATCACAAAGAGACAGTTACTTTTATGAAAAGTAAAGATTTTTTTTTAAGTAAAATGAAATGTACAATAAGAACAGTCTTATAAAAGATATATTGATATATACTCATATAAGGTAGGTCTTTCAATAACAATAATCCATATAATATTATGGATTGCAATTAAAGACCATATAATGAACCTGTATTCCCCAATGCAAATTTGAGTCGAATGTTCCATACGCCTTCACACTTAAACACTGTTTTAGTCAAGAGAAATCTTTTACTAAAATTAGCCATTGGGGATACGATACAAGCGTAATTTGCCTTATGGTAAAACAATGTGATTATGAAAGTGTAAATTCCTGTAATCCCTGCATTTATGAGCTGCTAGAAGCAAATCAGGATATGTTTGCTTTAGTAAATATCCGATATGTAAGAATATTAAAACACTTGAACAAAGCACTTGTATACTTACATACACATAAACCTTTACATTTAACTTAACATGCCTATAAAAGTTATGTGTATGTAAGTATCCTCTGTTCAACAGGGTCCTACTATCTTCACCATGATACATTGATTTGATCTCCAATCATATTTTGTGAAACTATATAAAAATATACAAAATAGAGAAACAACATAATACGCAGTAACGGCAAGCACTAACTATTTACCTGATGTGCACACCCCAGTATTGTTTTACTAATGTCATACTGAGACTAGTGAGATGATGACCAGCCATATAACTATGGCCTAGGATAATAGTAAATTTTATTTACTAATATACAGCTTACACTTTAGTTAAAATATGTCATCCTTTACAGAAATTTTGAATGTCTCAAATATAAACCTTCATGATTGAATAAATGTTAATATTTATTATTAAAACGTTTATTTGCAATCGGGATTAAAAAAATATGTGTAAAGAATGAAGCCCTAAGTCTCTACAGTACTACCATTTAACTGTATACAAATATCGAAGAGCATGCACATTAGTAAACAAATATACATAAATCTAAAAAATATACAAAATATACAATTTCTAAACAAACATACAACTAACAAACATTATCTATATATATTTAACATACACATAATTTATAATGTAAGAATAAATTACACCTTGTTAATGACGTTATAAACTTATATTTTAATACTTGAAATGATGTGATGCCTGTATGTATATAATTAGGGATGTGCCATGGTATGTTATTTTCTATCATTGCATATCTAACAATTGTTTAAAAACTAAAGAAAATCAAAAAACAAAAAGAATTACAGTAAAACAGAAATTTGATTAAACCATTAACAAAATACCTTTCTATGATCAACTGACACTGTCAGAGCAAAATTAAATAAACCATTATGCTAATTTTACAAAGCCAAAAATGGTTGAAAGAAATAAATTGTAGGAACAAAGGATCAGAATTTGTATTTTGTACAAGACAAATGAACAATTTAAATTCATATTCTTTGTACAATTAAGTCTAATTTCTCATGAATTTTAACAAAATGAATTCAATATTTACCATAAAAATATTTTTATAACTAAAACCAGGCACATTCCTGTGTATTGTGATAATGTTCATCATGTAATATTCATATAATAATTTTCTATTTGATTTCTTTAATAGAAATTCTAATCATCTACCCATACTGTCTATTCATAATTTCTCAATGGCAAACTACCATAAATCTATTACACACTTTCCTTACTTAATTTTATTTCCAAGCTAAGCACTGCTTGAAAAGGGCAAGGCCACTAGAAAAAGGCAGAAGAACCATTTCATTCATTATCATCAATTTCTCTATACTAGTCAAGTTTAACCAAAACAAAGAATCTATGTTTATCTAAAATGCAGTATTAATATGAGACATTCATTGCTCACACTGGCCAATAATCTCCAATTTATTTTATGGCTCCATTAAGGCACAATCAATTCTGAAGACCTTCCTACATATGCTGATTTTTTAAAATAAATTAAATCTATTGTTACCACATTTTGTGATCTGATCTTGCAGATCTTATGAATTAAGATATACATGTCATCAGTGTTTTTTTGATGATCCTTTAATAAACTATCGATCATTATTTTGTCATTATTCCGGAGAAAGCTACCTAATATATAAAGGCCTTAGAGAGTCAAACATAACTCTTTCTATAATAACATGATTTAAAAAATTGATGATTGAAAATATTCTTTTGGCTTTTATGGATTTCCAATATCTTTGTATCTAAAACTTTTAACATTTGTTTGATCTGATTATAGAACTCTTGAATTTTTGTAAAATTAAGTCAGAATATTCTGTTTCTGAAAAACATTGATGAAGATTTGAAAATAGATGAATTGAGTATAAAATATGTTTTCTTAATTTCATTTCTTCTTTAACTGCTTCTTTTGTTCCTTCTCTCTAGCCTTTCGTTCTTTTTCTTGCTGCTTCTTTTCTTTTTCTAATGCTGTTTTCATTTCTTTCACTTTCTTCTTTAATACTTCTCTATCTTTACCATTAATAATACCTAAGGCCTGGAAGAAAAAAAAATATAAGGATTTCAGCAGAACGCCATCATATGATACATTACAATATATTTTCGCTGTATTGTAATATCTCAAAATATTATGGTACATGAAAATTGTATATCATTTTGAATTTTATCAAAAATATCTACAGAAAGGCACTTGAAGTAACTGTGGGATAAATGTTATATTATATTGTAAATATATGTTTCAATCAATGATGAATGTTATCTGCAAAGTCATTAAAAAGGTATGCCCATAGCCGAGAAGTTGTTCAGTACTATAGAAGTAATTACAAAAAAAATTTAATTGGCTCTTTGTGTCACTACTTTTAAATATATGTGTATAAATTTCAAGATAGATAATTACTTTTGTCACTATAGAGTGTTCATAGCACAAGGGCCATAACCTTAGAAGTAATTGAAATTCAATAGGATTCTGTGATTCACAAGATTGAACAATGCATATGAATTTCAGAACAGATTGAATGATAACCAATAACTAACGGGTATTAACTCTGGAAGTTATTATCATAAATCAATGAAATTCAATAGGATTTTTCGTTCCACTAACCTAAACAATATACTGTTAAAGAAATGTAATGGGGTTTATAAAATCCTACTGTTCTGCACTGATTGGGCTAATGAAGACAGGCACCATACAGTCTACTACATGTATGAGGGAAATTTTTGCCCAGACAGCGGTACTATGGCCTACTTATATTGAATTTCAACTGCCAAGGGATCTTTTCGTGCACACCAATGTGTAGACAGGGACCTTGGTTTTTCGTCCCATCTAAACGACTATACGTTGTCCCTTGCCAGGCCCTCTGTCCTGCACCATTGACAAGGGGGAACAAAGCCGGAAAATCCCAATGAACTTTCTCGGCCAATGCAGGGGTAAGATAATAAATGTTGTCATTATAGAATAACTTATATTTGTCTAATTTAATGTTGACCATATTTGAAGACAGATTAGACAGTTCTTTTTTATATCATCTGTAGTTTTAATAAACAGTAATTTACTAACCTTTAATTTAGAACCATCAATAGCAAGTAGCTGTAAGCCGGTTATATTTTTATCACGAAAAACTGTTGTATATTTCTCTAATTCTAGTGCAATTAACCAGTGACACACATGTTCTGTTGTCCAGTCTGGTATAGGACAAGACTGAAATTGATTCAAATTTCTTTTGTTCGGTGATAAATTCTCCTGAAAAATATCATTTATATCTATATCACCATGAAACTATCACTATTATTTGATTTCTATTATACTGATCTATGTAATTGCACCAGTAACTTTATGATGTAACAAAATATGATGGAATGGAATTTAATATCTCATTAACACAATACTTTCCTCATTTTGAGATCAATGTTAATTTGAGTTTTTGGATACTTGTGCACTGACAGGGAGAAGATTGTTGTTTGGACAGTGACAATGGTGCTGTAGCCTACTCTTTTTTTTTTTTCGATTTCCAACTATGCACACCAATCAGTACAAAGGTCAACCTCATCCTTTTTTTTGTACTCTCTGTTGAACATGACAAGATACACTTTTCTGATCTGTCCCTGACAGCAAAGAATGAGCTTAAAGATCTTGAAGCTTTTTCTCTTCCCACGCCAGTCTTTGAACCTACGATATTCTTTTCGAGAGTACAATGCCTCACCCCTCCTTTTCTTCCAAGAAATGCCCAATGTCATTGCCATGAAATAAATAAAATCCTACCTCTGCTGCAGGTGTTCCTGATATATTTAAAGTGAAAGTAGATTTGGCACCATCTTCATCAAATTCTGACACCATCATAGAAGATGAGATGTCACTTGTAGAACTTGTTACTAATAGATAATGAAAACAATATTATTAATAGAACAAATAATGAGAAACAGAAGAGTATGTACACGTAACAAATTTTAAGACACTGAATGTGTGTGTGTACAAAAAATAATTTACTATATGATCTTATATGCCCTGTATAAATCTATAAATCTAATTCAGGACTTCACTCAGTCTGATACATCAATTCGTCAAGTTTTATTATCTATGATTTAAATTTGGGTGGATTAACAACTCATACTTCAAGTCCTGTATGTATATAGAATATAGCATAGCAACCAATAGTGCAAAAACAGACAACCAAGTTCAAATCTATGCAAAAGTTTCAAAGCTATTGAAGCAAAACAATCATTTCATAAAAGCAATCAATGATGTAAAACACAAAATAAAAAACTATATTCAAAAGCATGCAAAGTTAGTAATCATTCTATTAATATAGCATCATTCATAAACAAACAATAGCAAATCATGCAAAATAGGGACAACACAAAAATACTACTGAACACTTGAATGTGAATATTTTGCAATCGGTGAAATAAAGCTAAATATCCCTTTAAAATCCACCAAAGTCTTTGCCATGTTGTCAATCATATTCTATGGGTTAAGCGAAATGGAATTGATACCAGTAATTATATTCTGAAGGCTGAGCAAAATGGAACCGTCAAAATCCGTAAGTTAAGCAAACTGGTAGGCCCAATTTATTCCTGAGGTTATTGTGTAATTACCAATTATATTCAGTGGGTTATTGTGCAACTGAATTACCAATCATATTCACTGGGTTATTGTGTAATTGAATTACCAATTATATCTGTTAGTTAAAGATGCATTATGTAAGAGCAAAATTTGCCTTTTGCAGGTTTTGTCTGGACTTTAGGAGTTATATAAATTATCATTTAGGGATTTATTCACATGACAAGCCTATAATCATCTATTTACATCATCGGATGGCTCAGATGTAAACAGATTGAAATACAATGGCCATTTTTAATGATTTAATTCAAAATAGCAGCTAAGTCGCCTGGGCAGTCAACAAGGGTTGCCGCATATTTTTTCTTTTGTCAGTAACGAAAACATTTACAACACACCAAAATCTGATTACAAGTAACAACCCATTCAGTAATTATCCGAAATTATTAGAATTTGTTTGGCTTCTAGTTCTGCCCTATACCTAAGTTTATCATACAAAACATAAATTTAATATCCTGGGCCGTAACATTGGCAGTAATTATCGGAAATCGTTGAAAATCAAAAGGATTTCTTGTCTCACAACCTTGAACACTGTGTATAAATTTACAGTCAATCGAATATTAACTTTAGCCTCTAGAGTGTCCACAAGAATTTTTAAAGTGATCAAGGGCCATAACTCTAGCAGTAATTATTGGATATCGTTGAAAATCAATAGGCTTCTCATGACCTTAAACACTGTATATAAATTTAAAGTCAATAGGATATTAACTTTAGCCTCTAGAGCGCCCACAAGCAATTTCAATGAGGGTGTATAAAAATGGAGAAGCAAGGCTGAGTCTTCATTAACAAGTAACATTGCTACGATAATAAACTATCTATGTCAATACTTCAAACAATGATAACATCACTCAGAATAAAGTAATTTGAATGAAATTTTCGATATATTAATTTTGAATTACCGGGTATCTATTTTTGAACTATTATAGCAAGAAAGACCAGCTCTTTATCTAAATCTTACATAATGCATCTTTAGGAGGAAGTGATTGCTGATTATATTCACTTGTTAAGTGAAATTGCCAGTTGCATTTTCTAGATTAAATTGAGTGGAACTTCCATAACAATTATTCATAGAACAGAACTCCCAAGCATATTTCCTTTGATTTGACGAAATGGAGTTCATTTTTTTCTGGGGGATTTAATAGTTCATTTGGGACTAAAATATGGAGTTTGTGGAAACTGGTAAACTCTAGCATCTGGAAAAAGCCAACAAGGTCGGGTTCGTAACATTTTCTTTATTTTGTAAAGGGACCATCAAAGGTTTAAATAGGAAATTCTGAATTATGAATTCAGAGAATGTGAACAAGAATGTTGAGTAGAAGGGTAATACGGTTACAATCAAATAAAATGTGTCTTGACATAACATGTTGTTACATAGTTTATGTGCTGTGTTGTGAAACTTACCATCATAACCTGTATCAATTGGTGTCCGTGATATAAGAGTTATTCCCCCTGAGTCAGTTAAAGAATCATTAGAATCTAAGCGTCGATTGGATAAAAGTACGATACTACTTGTACTGCTGTTTGTTGAACCGGGTTGTTTTGGTTTCATATTAAATTTGGGTATTCCGAAACCTGTTTACATAATATAGGTAATAAAACTGATAAAAATATTGTCATGCAAATCTGAAGTAGGGGATAGAGACGGGGTTGTGAATAACAATTATTCTATAGATTAAAGAGACAACAAGCCAGGATAAAACTCAATTACACAGCTGTTCAAGACCTTTTTGATTTGACCAAAAAATAAAAGTGTCAATTAAAATTAAATTAAGTTTAGTTGATTTCCTTTGTGAAGTGTGTATCCGTCCACATTAAATTTTTTATGTCATTGATCAAGTAAATATTCAGTTATGTTACAGCTTAATATTTTGAAACAGGTAAGCTTATAGATATTGTCCTGTCATCAGTAATCAATAAAACACTTTATTTTCACCTACATTTGAGAGGTTTAGCTATTTTAAAGGTATGTTTATAACATACACGCAATCTCAAATTATTCAAATGGGTACTTTATCATTTCAATTGCAGCAAATTTAAATTTCTATAAATTTAATCAATTTCAATTAATTTTTGAGGTTCAGTAAAGCTGTCTAATAAAATTTTTAATTAATGTGTTACACATACATTTTGTGAAACTGGTCCCTAGGCACCAATTCTCTGATCTATATTGTTTATTTACTACTGGAATGTGTAAGGCTGACCTTAAAAATATCTTTGTTTCACCAAACCCGACCCACAATCGAGGAGAAGGGTCGGTAGGTCGGGGTTTTTTCAGATTTTTTTTTTAAGAGCTAATTTGACAGCTTGATAATTTTCCGGGTGCAAACATTCGTCTTCTTTTATTGGCAAACAAATCAATGACATCGGCATCGGGATTTTTCTTGATGCACGACTCGCACACAAATTGCGACAAACTCACGTTTGAAACTCCCTCAACACGTTTTTAACGATCGTGCGGGTTGTGCCTTTATTTTTCTCGAAAACGGATATTGAAAATATCGTCGTCATGTTTAAAACGACGCCCCACAGACATAGAGGCAGAATCATTTCGTGGGAATGGACGTGCTTTCGTCTGCAACCATTTTGTTGAGAAGCGACACCTATGACGCTTTCGTCTTGATCAACCAGTTTCAATAATGAATCAAACCATAGCCATAATAAAGGGAAATAACTCTCGTGATATATTTCAGGTTGACACACAAAATAAAATAAAAAGATCGCGGAAAAGTGCAATAAAATAATTTAAGTCGGGGGTGGTTTTAGTTAGTCGGTCGCGTTAGGCGAAACAAAGATATTTTTAAGGTCAGCCTAATTATTGTTTAATTTTGACAATAAATCTGAACAATCTGGCTTGTTGATCCTTATTTATACAAATCCCCTAAATATAAGTGTTATGTAATAATAAACATAAATCATATCCCATACATTTATTGTTATATTTAGAAGTTGAATTTTGTACTATATAAATCAAATATAAAATGATTTCATATTGTCATGTAAATCGATATGAACAACTCAAGAGTCAGATATGTTTCCAGCTTTATCAAATTACACTTAATACTTTAATGTCCTCTATCAATATCAATCATGCTCTATATTTCTATATAGATCTACATCAAAGTCCAACCTATTTTTTTTTTTCCATTTAAAAATAGTATTCCAAAATGAATATAAATCTTATGGATGAATTATTCAGAGCAAGTGAAAACTGAATTTCATAATAATAATAAATCTACCTCATTTGTTTTTTTTAGAATATAATTCTAATTAGTATTTTACTATTTTATTTGGGAGGACTATTATATAAAAACCAGAGATCTACATGTACATCAAGGTCTTCATTTAGAATTTGATTCTAATTAGTATTTTACTATCTTATTGATGAATATTAGGGATGAATATATTATATAATAATGTTATATACAGTAATTAAACAAGAATGATTAATATGTAGACTATATAATGAAACCTTTGCCCAAGATATCAGATGTATTATTCATTGAAAACTTCTCAATTTTTTATATTGAAATGTTATGATTGCAAGCTAGTTGATGTGATATTTTAAATTAAGTAACACAAGCCTTTTGACAAATGAATTAATGAAATTTGTAACTCAATAGGCAATATGGATGATAATTAATATTTATAGGAGTCAAAGTAAAGAATAAATTTTTTAAATTAATTAATTAGTAGGAATAAGGAATAATACAAATATAAACATAGCGTCCAACAATAAATTATATATTTCCATAAACAAAGAGTTCAGGAATGGTATGTATCTTTTTCATGCATCATTTTTTCTTTTTCTTTGTAGAAAAAAATATGTATCATTAATAAAAGGTAATATTAAAATAACAATTTTGGTAATTAATTCTTTCAAGGTCATTAGATGTGAAGCTACATATTACTTTACATTTTCAGAATTACAAGATATTTTAACATTGTGTTTAAAATGGATGACTTTAAGATGGTACACATACATGTAATAGATAGATAAACAAAGAATTCATGCATATACAGAACTGGTTAAAATATGAAAAAAAGATATTAAAACTAAGAGGCAAATAAATCAAAATATTAAAAATCTTTAAAATTAATCAAATCTAGATGCAACAAACATTTTGTAAAAGAACAATATAAGCAGAGTATAAAAACATACCTTTGGCAGGTTTAGCTGAAACCAAGGTTATGGCCCCTGAATCTTCATTTACATCTGTTGAAGCAGGAATTTCTGAATCCAAACCACGAAATTGTGGTCTATGTGGATCATATGAGGTCTGTGATACAGAAGAGGAGGTATCTGACTGACTTTCCTGTCTAAATAAAGAAATATCACAGAATTTATAAGAATTACTTTCCTTCATCAATATAAAGAGTGCCAATCATATAAGCAGATCTTACTAGTTTGTAACAATAGATTTAAATAACAACAAAGTATTTTAAATATTTCTTAGTACTGTATGTCAATTACCCTGTAGGATTAACATTTTTAAAGTGAATACTGATTTCTTTTTCTAAACAAACATGTTGCAGCCTGCAACCCTCATAAAATACCATTAATCCATGAAATGCTTATCAGTATTTTGAGATATAAATACATTTATGCCTGGATCCAGGAATGTTTCTTTGGAGGTGGGGGATGGGAAGCCAACAAATTAGATCACACTGAGCAAATGCCCGCCCAGATCATTTATATAAAGTTTTCCTTTCCACATGCAAATACCTCATGCAGTCCTATGTCAGCAGTTTTGTCAATGAATAGGTACATGTAGTATCATTCAATTAATTCATTACTTAGTGGATTTAATGTTGTGAAAATATATTTAAACATTCAGATATTTCACACATAGTATATTGGGTTGGTGTTAAGTGAAACTCAGTGAGGGTTTCAACAACCATTCAAATGGATGAGAATGTTGCATTCATGATACTAATGAAATGATTGAAAGTTGATAGATTGATGAATTCAATGACAAGATATGATATGATTCAAAACCTAACTAAACACAAAATATAAAACATAACTAAACAAACACATTATAAAACACAATATATAACACATATATAAGACATAAACAAAACAAATAAACTACAGTATAACTAAATAAATATAAAATGCAACTAGACCCCCCCCCCCCCCGCTTCACAAAATATAACTTTTAAGTTAAAAAAAACCCACAATGTCAATATACAACTTGAACAAGGAAATAAAAATCAGATTTTCAGTGGAATTTTCCACAATTGTCCATGATATATCAAATGCATCACCTGCCAATCTGGATGGTAAAACCCACCACTGCACAAAAGGTACAGTTCTTACCGGAGTAGGATTAAGTCAGATTGAAAATATAATGAAACCAAGTAATAATAATTCTATATCTAAAACAGGAAGCTTATACAGCTTTGGGGTGTGTAGGCTTACGTATTTCAAAGAGAGAGAAATGGGGTTTAACGTCCACTTGACACAAACTAGGTCACTTCGGGACTACACATGGTTCAATTTTATTTCAATAATTCGCTTGCGGGTAGGGGGGTCTTTAGCAGTGGGAGGAAACTGGAGGACCCGGAGAAAACCCATGAGGTTGGACAGGTGACCCTACTCCTTGTAGTGTACAACCGGGGAATCGAAACCCGACCAGTTGACTCAATGCCAGAGATACAACGCGCACGTGCTAACTGTTCGGCCATCCAACCCCCCCCCCCTTAACCTATTTCAACATGAAGTAGAACTGAACCTGTCATGAACAGAAACCTTGCAAGCAAACCATAAGTTAGTAATTAAATATTAATTCTAAAAAGCATGCTAAAGACTAAAAATATAACATTACCTAGAGTGACTATTCGTGGAAACACTATCATTATCACCCTCACCACTAAGGGGTGGTGGATGTTGTGTAGGAGGAGGAGGAGGGGGAGGGGACGAGGGCATCATATTACTAGAGGAAGGTTGACCTCTTCGTTTTTTATTATTACTTTTTCTAACAGTACTGTCGCTAAATTGGAAAGAAACAAAATTACAAATTTTACTTAGTTTTTCGATATCCAAAATTTGTAAAGCTTTCTGATGCAAACATATCATCATCTGATTATAAAAGATCACCATCTTGCTAGAACTATTCATCACAGTATTTTATTGTATCAAAGCTATTTTTAATCATTCATTATTCATCACACAATATTTTATTTTATTCATCATGCAGTATTTTATTCTATCAGAGCTGTTTGTAATCATTTATTATTCTTCACACAGTATTTTATTCTATTAGAGCTGTTTTTAATCATTCATTATTCATCACATAGTATTGTCTTATGTTATATCTATTAGACTCCTGGCTGTTGTTAATCATTCATTATTCATCACAAAGCATTATGTTATATCTATCAGACTCAGAGCTGTTCTTAATCATTCATTATTATTCTTCAAAAGTTCAAAATAATGTTTTATCTATTTTTGCCTTTTTGTTGATTTTCTAATCAAACCAGGGTAATGATTTTATTCATAAAATTTGTTTATTCAGAAATTAACATTTAAAATGGACATTTTGTATTTTACAACTAGTTTTGTCATTTGTGTACTCTAAGCTAAGATTAGAATATAGATGTTGCTTATTTTTTTAAGTTAGCAAAAAAACTGCTCCTGTTAAGATTTAATTTCTTCTTCTTAAAAAAACAATTACATTTTTCTTTAAGCAAACTCAATTCTTAGCACATTGAATAATTCACTCAAAAAATTAAATAAATAGAAAGATTGTGGATTGGTTATAAATCAAAGTCAGAAATACGTATATTTTATGGATAAAATAAAATATCTTAAAAAATAATTCATAAAGATATTAATTAGGGCTGAGAGTAGTTAACTTATTAACTGGTTAACGTATAAATGAGATTAACACGTTAATAGAAATGAATTAACACGTTATCACTCTGTGACTTCATATTCGGCTGGAAAATAATAGTATTGAAGACCAGTGAAAGGGCCTAATTCATGACAAAAATCATTCATAGAAAAAATTCCCGTCTCCCACTTGGAATCAAGGGTCAAGGTAGAAGGCACCAAATTTGATCATTTTAAAAATGTTTTCCTGTCAAAAAGCAACCTAAATCCAGAATAAAAATAATGATCAAGAATAAGGTATTTTTACTCTCTGAAATGGGCTGAATACGAAACAGGCCATGATTTTGGAGCTTTGATAATTTAATCATTAACTCGTTAACTTAAAAATTTTAACATGTTAACCAGTTAAAGGAAATTTTAACTTGCTCTCAGTCCTGATATTAATACCAAGGATGATGATCATGACGAAAGGAATAAATGATAGATTGACAAATGAATAACTGGATATATGAATGAATTGAAGTAATGGTTGATGTGTAAAATTAACAAATGAATGATATGTGAATATATCTAGGAAAGAATATCAGAATATTCAGTAATGAATAACTTAGCTCAAAAGAATGATTAAATAAATAATAAGCTGGCATCAATAAATTAGTGTGTGTACATCATCATCTTTACATATCATGTAGCCCATTCTCATATCATTACTATCCTTGGCTCAATAAGGAATGTATTGAATCAAGGGTAGTAATGCTATGTTACAGAGCATGGTATATGAGAGATTGGTATGAGGTAAATTAAAGAAGTGACATCTTGTCTGTCAAGAAAATGCATAAACTTCCATTTTCACAGATTAGCTGTGAGAAAAAACTGGTGAACCTGGGAAAACAAACAATCCTTGTCATGTACACTATCTAACTTCTATAATTTCACTTGTTCACCCAACCATCCAGACATCACTTGCCAACCCATACTGTCTGATATCACTTGCCCACCCACCCTATCTGATATGTCCACCCAAACTGTCTGATATCACTTGCCCACCCAAACATTCTGATATCACTTGTCCACCCGACCTATCTGATTTCAAATGACCACCAGAACTGTCAGATATCACTTGCCCACCAAACCTGTCTGATATCACTTGCCCACCCAACCTATCTGATTTCGTGCAAAAGATGGATTTAAGCTGACAAGACAAGAATTTGGTGATGATGAGATACAATTTACTCTACTTGTACTTACATATTAATAAAAGAAGGTATTCTAAGAGCCAGCAATGAGAAATAAACCGTAAAGAACAGATTTATTATATGCTGATCTAATCAATGTTATCACAGTTTCAAATTTTTAAAAAAAGTAAAAATAACATTTCCAGATAATCCTTAAGTGGCATTTAGCGATTGAGCACACAATACAATACAAAACACAACAGAATTTATGATTTGTGTTGTGTTGTGTGTTTATTTTAAAACATTTCCAGAGTTAATAATAGATGTTAGCCTAGACTATAAATTCTAAACTATTAGTTGTTTCTAGGTACATGTATATCATAAGATAGGAAATTAAAACAGTCAGAAACTAGGACTGTGTTAGCCTACATTGCTGTACCTGAATACAGTAACATAGTGCTCCCTCTAAATGCACCAATCAAAGACTTTGTTACAAATTAATGAATCTGACCAACAAAGGATATTGACCAAAATATCTTTGATGTTATCCATATGATATAATATTAAAGAAGCTACAACTCTTTACCTGTGTCAAAATCAACTATTGAATTGTGTTTATTTCAAAAGAATAAGTGATAGGACAAACTCTATCTGACAAAATTTTCGTTTTCAAAGATTAAGTGGAAGTTGACTGTTGGACACAAAATCTGTGGCTCTAAAAAAAATTTAAATGTGGATGTATACCAACTTTGCAATGCAAAAACAACATATCAAAGTTAATTAAATCAACACTTATTTTTGTTCTCAAATCACAGTGGTCTGTCATTTTAAATCTGACATCAGCTAACACAGTCAAGGTAGATATAGCTTTTGTTTTCATACTATGACATTGTGAGGACCCTTCTACTTGCCACAGCAAATACTGCTATTTTCTTTTTTTTGTGAAATGTTAATATCTGGTACCTAATGGATACATCGATCTAAATAAACAGATAATTACCTGTCATGTTTGATCCAGGTTTCAAGGCCACTCTCAGATTCTTGTCGACTTTCTGTGTCTTCTTTAATAACACCAGTATTATTAACTCCATCTAACTCACTATCAGTAGACTGAAATATACCATAAAATATAGAATCATGAAAAACAATCATGAAAGATCACAAAACAAGATAACCATAATGTAAAGAAAGATAAAATCATAAAACATAGACCCATAAACATAAAAAAACTAAATTTTGAAACAATGTGGTGTATACATCTAGAATATATTAACCAGCACCACTGACAACTGATTTCTTCCGCAAACAATTAACACTGTGACACCTTCAAAACCACTGACTAATAGAAACTGACACAAAAATAACACTCTTCCTGTATTCCTTTTAACCCTGATATATTTGTAACGAGACAACAATTTGATATTGGTCTGAATATTTATTTACCTTAGAGCGTTTAGTTGGAGGTCGTCTGGAACTATTAGCCAAGGCAGCTTTAGCTTTACTTGCTGTAGTATCTAATAAAGGTGTACTCGGTACTTCTTCAAACTCTTCTTTTGATTTATTATTTACAAATGGTGGAGTCTTTGGTGATTCAACATCTATAAATGAAAATAAAATCTTTATCGTCAATAAAACTTGGTTAGGACATGTAACTGCAAGTTCTCTTTAAGAAACCAGAAATGAAATGGGGTTTAACGTCCTACTATTCTGCTCCGAACTGGGCTAATGAAGATATTTTACATGCACGCCAATGTGTACACGGGACCTTGGTTTTTCGTCCCATCCAAACGACTAGACAGCTGTCCTTGTCAGGCCATCCGTCCTGCTTCACTGACAAGGGGAAACCACGCCGGAAAATCTGGATGAACTTTCTCACCCAATGCAGGGATAGAACAACCGACCTCCAGGCTAGCTAGCCAGCGTCTTACCAACTTATCCACCGTGATCCCTCTCAAGAAACCAGAGATATACATTTCAGCTCTCATTTCAAAAGTTGAAAACTTCTATGCATGAAACATGTTACAAAATTAAAAATGTTAAATGTATTCTAAAAAAATGACATTGATTTCATGAATTTCAAAAAAGAAACAACACAATAAACTGCTGTTTTTTTTAATATTTTCTTTGGATTTTTTTAAGTACTTTAATTAAGCTGAAAGAGATGGCAAACATCAAATTATATTCAATATTGAAAAAGAATATGTCGATAAAAATTATAATATACCCACCAGGTGTAAGGATTGGATCTGAACCAAATATTTCTGAACCAGATGAAACCTCGGATACACTTCCAACAGGTGATATTGCATCTTCTAAAATAACATGATTAAAATTTTATTTGCACTTTTGCCACAATCTATTTAGTACCTGTAGGTATATATCATTAAGTTTCATTGGTTCGATTCACTGTATTGACAGATTTCTTTAAACAATAGATTTGATTGATTTAATACCTATAGGAACTGCTGATTGATTTAATACCTGTAGATTTTGTAGATGTAATTAGATGTTTGATTGGTCTATTACCTGTAGATGTTGTTTTAACAAGAGGTTTGACTGGCTTGGATACAGGTATTACATCTAATTTATTTATCTTGTCATTTCCTGACTGTAGATTAACAGGTAACCCAGCAGCTGTCTGAGCTGTCGTTAAATCTTTCTCTAATTCAAATATCTAAAATAAATAATACAATATAAAATAATGCTCAAAATATCTACTTCATGAACCATCACAGGCATAGGGGTGATGATTTTCCGTGATCCTGAAAAAACGCGGAAATCGCGGAATTGTCCACTCAAAACAGAATTTGAAATCTCACACGGAAAAAGATGGAAAAGCCGATATTTGCTGATACTAAACACAAACTCAAACCAATTTTGCAGTTATCCAAGTATTTCATATTTTTATTCATAAAAATCGGAAATATTGAATGATATCGCGTGGTTTTGTTACTGTCTATTTTAGTATTTAGCTACTTTCATTTCATCATTTAGGAATCATAAATTTAATCGAAATGAAAACCCGTCTTTTATGTATCCCTGTATACAATTACTCTGTAGTTGAACTTGAATTAAACATTGTAATGTATATATATGTCTTAAAAAAAACTTCTGTCACTTCATAAAAGTAAAAATCGTTTCATTTACTTCTTATTTTACTGCCGGGCTCGTGACTCGTGTTTATCCGCATTAACCACGTGACATCACAAATATACCGTAGCCTTGTGAATCCAGCCCTTATTCTCGAAGAAACGGTAGTAACTACGAAGATGTCTGGATAAATCGTGACGACAACCAGCAGCTGAGAAAAATGGCTTTGTCTGCTAAAAAGATGAAACAAGCTCACAAGATGTAATTTTCTGTTATTTAATTCGGGAAACAGGTTTAAAGAATAACTAGTCATTGAACATTACAAGTCATTCACAATTCAACATTGTTATCATTGGTTTAAAATGATCCGTTTTGTAATAAAAGGCATTTTAAGATGTTTTATTCATTTATTCATAAAATAACATTTTATCTCGAAAAAACGGAATATGGTCAGCTCGGAAACGGAAAATAACGGAATTAAAAATACTTAAAACGGAATTTGCTATTTTCTGAAACGGAAAATCATCACCCCTACAGACAGTCTAATGACTATCTTCCACAAATTGAGAACACAGAATATAGAATGATCTCCCATTTTGGTGAATGTGCTTTCATTAATTTACCCAAATGTTCTATTTGCTAGGGCCTGCATTACAGAAATTTACTACTAGGTTCTTGTCTCTAATTCATAAAAGATATTAACAAAGATGTACTTATTCAAATATGTTTGATTCAGGATAAGAAATACAAGACTAACTCTATTATAATCTTCTGGATCTCACAATCAACAAGGAAAGAGGACAGAAAGTTTTAGATAAAGGACAATGAGCATATAGGTGGAGGAGAGACGGTAAGTCTCTTATAATTTATTATTAACTGGTGGTTGACCTGGTGTAGCACAGGTACGGCCATGAACTTAAAGTAGCATAACTCTGAAACCAAAAGTGGTAGTCCAACCCCACCCGGCCTATGTTACTCCCTAGTCCAAGTCACCCCTATACACCAACATGCAGCCTCGGGACAGCTCTAGTCTAGCCACTATCCCTGAACAGACAGACAGACAAACAAACGACAGATATTAGTATAGATAACTACGTTACCCTATCTTTCAAAGATTTAACTAGTGCATTATATTGTTGATCTTTTTCGGATTGTTGTTGAAGTAACGATTCACGCTCCTGAATAAAATCTTTTTCTCTGAAATCAAAATAATACAACAATTAAATCACAGATTTTAATATAGATATATTGACATGATTTGTGACAAGTGTAATCAAGTTGTCCACCTCCCGAATTGGCATACGATGTGTTACTAGCCTGATCCATTGGTCTACAATAATCCTTGTACTATGTCAAAGTTGAACATTCCTGATAAAACATAGAAACAGTTGTGCAACACTGGCCACAGACCTTGGTAATGCCATCCTGGTATCTAATTGATGGATATTGTATGCAATTTTTGATTCAAAATGGTTTGATCCATTACACTAAATAGACTTGTATTTACAAAATGCTTAATTTATCTCCTTCCTATACAGGAGACTGGCCAAAGGGTGATAGTAACACCAATGGAATATATTATAGCAAACTGTGACCTTACCTTTGTTGAAAATCTTTTATAAGTTTTTTAGCTTTGTAATATTTTTTTTCTAAAGATATACAGTCATTTTTCATCTGTTTTTCTAAGGCAATATATTGACCCTGAGAATCTTCTAATAAATCCTGAAACACCAGAAATATAACATTGATTATGTTAGCAAGAAAACTGTTCTAAATACAGACAAAATGGATGATGTAATAAGAGACAATTCAACTATAGTCATTACTTCCGATAGGTAAAAAAAAAAATTATAGTGATTGTGCATATTGTCTTTTGCTTCTTTAACATTTTCTATTCATAATATCATATTCAAAATAATCATAGACTAGCTTAATCATAATACTTAGAGTAAGTTATTTTTCATAAGCATATCAGCGCGGGCTTACCAGAATTGTACAAAGTAATGGATTCAAGGGTAATATTATATTCAAAGCCTCATAAAAACCAGAAGTAGGTTATTCCAAGACTAATACAAAATGTTCTTACTTTATACTACTAGCCTACTCCAAACATGAAATATAAAAATGCTAACCTGGTACTGACAGATTTCTTTACGGCTACTTTCCAGGGCTTTTTCCAATTCTCGAAGCCGTAAACTTTGTTCATCAACTTTTTTGTCTGTCTGTTTTTTCTGTACTTCAACATTTTCTAACAAAATCATCTGAAAAATTAAATAAAACTCTAACATTCCATGACAAATTTTTCTGAACAAAAACAGAAAACATTTACCAGTCAAGAAATGTTCTTATTATAAAAAAGCACAACTATAATAAGTTGATGTATGTAGAAAGTTTCATAAAAAAAACTTAAACAGTGTATGGGCTGCAAAAATGGGGATGGGAGGAAGGATGGGGCCTATTTAAATATTCAAATCTAATTTTTTTTTTATGCTGGATAATAATTTAACAGCTACTGGGATAAACTTTTATAAAAATTCAAACAGCACCAGTTCAAAAGCCACCGTTAATTTAACATACATTATGCAAGAGCTAAATCTGCCTATTGTAGGTCTTTCTTTAGGCTTGAAATGTTATATAAACCATTAATTAGACATTTATTAACAAAACAAGACCATAATCAACTCTCGGTGTCAACGCTGGCCTGCGATATTTGTTGGATTATGATCCGATTTGCTGCATAACTTTCCTTCTCGATTTAACGATTAAATGGATAATGAGACTATGATTTTTGTCGCACCGACTTTAGTAATGATGACCGAGGCTATGCGGAACTTTTGATCGCTTATTTCTCGGTTCATAGTGGATTAATTTGACTGAAACTTTCAGCAAATTGCCTTTACATTATCTAATTAACTGCCAACTCGTTATCTAATCTCCCATAATGTATCTTTAAATAATTGCTACCAAATCTTTCAATATGGCATCCCCTGGCTTAAAAATCAGTCAAGCATATACTAATAAATAAACCCATCAAGTTTTTAATACAAAACTATATCTTCTTTGGAATTAATATGTATCTTGTTATTATGTTCTCATGTTATTTCTAAACTATATTCTAAATAGCTGTTGTAATAGGAGGATGGAATTATAAGCACTAAAGCAGGGTTCCAATCATTTTATAATAATAAATAAAACAGTATTTACCTTAGCTTTAAGTTTGGCAAGTTCTGCTTCTGATACAGCATTTTTATAATGTGCCTATCAAACAAAAAAAAAAGATTTCATTAGATGACAAAAATACTGTCATGTAAAACAAATTTTTCATTTTAATTCGCATATATATATGCCAGTTTTTTTTAACCAACCTAAAATGCCTGAGAATTTTTGTCCATTTTGAGTCTATTATCAAAGGAAATTACTTAAATTATTTTCATGTAACAAATTGGCTTAAGTGTTTCATATTTTGTCATGGCAAATGCAAATGGGGGACCAATGCAGATTATCACTAGTAATTATAAGAAGGGAACCATTTACTGGAAAAATACAAATAAAATTCTTGATCTTGGAAACTCAGAAAAGATGGTTATCAGAAGATCCAGGCCAGTGTTGCTATTTCAAAATTTTTCTTGTCTGACAGTTTACCAAAAATAAAGGGGAATAACTCTTATCGTTATTTAAGCAGACAGAATCACACCACAATTGCAAATCATGTGACAACAAATATTCAAATTTTTACATAATAATACAAGTGCACCGTGCCATTTTTCAGATTTAAATCTTGTATTCAAATTATGTCAGACTGTCAGTAATATTTCAACAAAATTACATGTTTTTGTAATACGATAGAATGAAAGTGGGCCACCCAGTACCTGCTTCAAATTCACGCCAGTAATATTCCTCCAAAAATATGCGTCTTCGTTTATACAAGAGCAATTGAAAGCAAAACATTGTTTTCTTCTTTATAAAATAGTATTCTAAAACTACCATGGTAGTTTAATCACTTGTAAAAAGGCAAATAGCGTAGGACATGTCCAGAATATACCGGTGAAATAGCATCAATGATTTGACACCTCAAAATACAACTATAGGATCATTCCATGTCAAGTGGGCCAGGGGTGGGAAATTGACCACCGTTGAACAAATCTGGAAAAAATATATGTTATTGAACATGTAAAACCCAGAAACTGTGCAAAGTTTGTGGTCTGTGGCTTGAAAATTGACTGAGATACAGGCATTTGAGTTTAATGAGTTACCGATAAGTTTTCAAAACAAAATATGTAGCAATAATTTACTTGAGTTTCAGATATCTTATTTTTGTTCTAGTGAAGGTATACAGGTCAAATACGGTAGTCTTAAAGAACTTTTTGTGTAGATTACAATCTGCAATCTGGAATTACAGGTGAGTGGCCATGAAACCGAAAAACATTTGCTGTAATTGTATATTTCTGGATTTTGTAGTGCTCTAGGAGCTACATGTACAAAGTAATAGATATAGACCCAAATTTTGGCCTATCCAGTGATTGCCGGTAGTACTTCATACAAAACATATGTAAATTATTGATACATAATTTGTTTCGAAAACTTTTCGCTAACTTAAGAAACTCAAATGCCTGTATCTCAGTCAATTATTTTCAAGCAACAGATCACAAATTTTACACAGTTTCTAGTTTTTACATGTACAATAACATATATTTTTTCAAGGGGGGGGCGATTTCCCAAATTTCTGAAATTTGACCCACTTGACATGGAATGACCCTATATGTAAACATCAATATAAAAGGTAGTCAGACTTAGATCTCTGGATGTAAAGTGGAATAATGTTATAGGCATATTTTCAGAAATTCACTATAACAAGTCTTTACCTCTTTTAATTTAACAAAGAGAGCCTGTGGATCCATATCAGGTGAAGTTGTATCACTGCTACTTTCTGCTAATTCAAATACCTCCACATTTGGCTTATCACCCATCTCTTCAGGTGAACTAGCAGGTGTACTGTCAGAGTCCATCCCTGATGGAGCTGACATGGGTGTGGCGTCACCTGCATCAATATAGGTTTCTTCTACCTCTTCTTCTTCTTCTTCCTCCTCCTCTTCTTCTTCTTCCTCTTCTTTTTCTTGAGCATCCTCCATACCCTACAAACAAAATAACGTTTTTACTGGTATTTTATGAATGGATTTACGCAGTCCTAATGTTTAAAGTCCTCCCTGGTATGTTCGAGTGGTATTGTTCCGTTTTACTCTACTAACCCCTTGGTCCATTCACAGGGTTTATTACAAATTCAAATGATCTGCCCATGAGGATTTCATTGGCCACGTAGGTTGATTCTATGAACCAATCAAACAGTTTACATACCAGTCTTAGCATCATTATTTACATTCACCACAATAAAAGAAATTTAATGTTGATGAGGTGACATGCACACAATATGATGTCCTAAAATATTTTGACAAAGTTTGCATCAACCTTAGTTGCCTATAGCAGATAATTTGACTGGAATACTAGAATTACTCTTGCCATATAATTAAGAAGAGTTTTTTTTTACGGGACCTTTTTTTTCTTATTTTTGAAGTTGGCACAAGTTTTTTTATGACTCCTTCACCCTTTCCTAAACATGAAGGAATGATTTATGTTTCAATCCGATTTAGGTTCTAATTATGTAACACAACAAATAATTTTTGTTTGAAACTGAGTTCTGAGCATCTTAACTGATTGATCAATCAAATTTTCCCTGTGTGAAAATATGGTAATTTTGGCTTGAAGTGTATATAAAAGTGATTCTGATTGGCTTAGTGATAACAATCATTATGAATATTGTATGCATTTTTCTTGATATTTTCTGATCTTTTGGCAGAAAATGCATATGGTCATAAAATAAAAATTAACTCACTGATATGGGTGGTAATGGAACATAGTTAATGAAATTATAATCTAATTTTATTGAATGATAAAATATATATGTTTGAATGATAAACATTTCGTCACATCTCCTTTACAGCTCTAATGTTGAGACTTTACTCTTCATGGAGCCTTACTAACCTTCTCCTCCTCAGTCTCTTCTTCTTCCATATAAGACCGATCTGATTCTTCTCGCTCTAACTGATGTATATGATTATGATGCTCATGTTCCAATACTTCATCTTTAGGATGGAATTCGTCACGTAATTCCTGAAGTCTTTCATGTTCTTGTCGACGTATTTCTTCACGTCTTCGATCCTGGTCTAAAGATTGTTGTATTAATTTAGCTACCTCACTTTTACTAGGGTCTGGTTCTCGACCAACTAAAAATCTGAAAATTATTAATTTGTAATATGTTAATTTACTATATTCTATTGAATCAGTATGAATGTAAAATTGTAATTGATCTGTAAGAGATTTAGCTGGGCTATAACTCAAAAGTATAACAGTAGCAGAACAAATAACATCTGGTCCATTATTCCTATGTGTGCTATACGAGGTAGGACAATTTTTCAGGTACAGCAACATTTCTGCATACTTCAATTTCCAAACAGTTTTAAAAAAGCCTGAAAGCCCTTCCTAGCCCTGATTGCACAACTACCACAGCCCCGACATTTTAATGGACTAGACTCCTGTCCTTGCATATTGACTTAATCAACTAGGTTAATGTCCCTTGCATATGGTCTTATGACCGGATACTGTTTCCTTGAGATTCAACTCAATTTCTACTAAGGTTGCAACGATATCAAATTATTTTATCGCGATTAATCACGATAACAGCTTTTGGAACTATCGCGATAAATAGCAGTATTGCGATTATGTATTTTATCATGATAATTCTCTTTTATCACGATAATTTAATTTATATAATAATCATGATAATGGAATGTTCCTGACAATACACCATAAAAGTCACAATTTGTTTTCAACTTTTATTTTAACAATTCCAAATAAGTAGTTATAGTAGTAGTTTTTATAAACAAAATGTTATAGTAACTCTTTCTGAGTATATAACTGTACGTTTGGTAAATGTTAATATAAATCTATTCAGTTTTCTGTTGCAAAAAAAACCTCAGCAGCTGTGTTAACAAATCAAAATGAAGTGAAGTAATCACTACTGTAAACTAAAACCTTTAGTCTTTATGAAGATGCATGTATTAATCAACTGTTTGAAAATATCTGATTATTCATATATACAGAATTGCGTATTATTCACAAACGATTTGGGAATTTGAATATCCGATTATTCACACACAGAGAATTTCAATATCAGATTATTTACATAGAATAGAATCAAATTATAATTTGGATTTCCGATCATTCACACAGAATCAAATTATTATTTGTGAATTTCAATAATGAAATAATATTAGCTACATTTGGTTGATAAACTAACTTCATCATCTCCATTTTCCAAAAAAATTGGAATGACCTGTATGTTTAACCCTTCCCTAGAATCTTGTGTGTTGGACATATTTATTACAATGTTAATGTTATTGGTTAAAAATAAAATTAATTCATAGATTGAAGCTATGATGATCCATGACGGCATGACAAGAAAGAAAATTGGAACATCCGGGGAGTTGAGCACTGACTAGATTGACCAGCCTTGAATATGTTAGCCTATTGGACAGTGTGATTGTACGTGTTTCCAATAAACGTAATTGTCTAAATATGAAAATATCAGCTAAAATATACTTTTGATTGATATTGGTTTGTATGATTACAAAAATAAGCAACTAAAATTGTAAAAAAAACAAACACTTGAACATATAAAAAATTATTCCAGCTGAACCCGAGTACGATTAGTTATAATATATTATGAGAAAAGAGACTGGATGATCAGTTATAACAGTTGCCTAGCATCTTCCTTCACACCGGAAATGAACTTGTCAAAGTTACTATCGATGAATGTTATTGATTTAAAATAACGTCTATTCTCCCGATAATCAGTAGTCTGGCGATTATTAGATTTATCGTGATAACTGAACAAATCTCCCGATATACCGGGGATGGCGATTATCTGATTTTGGGCCGATACAATATTATAATGTAAAAAATAATCGCGATTAAGCGGCATTCCCGGGGTATCGCTGCAACCATAATTTCTACTGTAAGTTAAAATGAAATAAATAATAGCAGTATGAAGTGAAACCACTAAAATATTACTTGACTGTTCCGTTAGTGTTGCGTAAAACTGATGCTGCATAGGCCTGTGTAACCCCGACTAGACTTTTACCATCTACTTCTATTATTTGATCATTTACTGCGATTCTGCAAAATGAAAAATAACTTTGAAACAATCATTCTAAATTGTCAATGTACAGACCAGGCCTTGAAATGAGTTTGTCATCTTTCAAATTTATGAATCAACCAGAGTTCTTTGCTCTATAATGTAGCTTCAAGTTGCAGACATTGATATACACTAACATTGGTAATCTCCAACTGATGTCATCATCAGTGGCGGATTAAGCTCCACCAAGGCCTGAGGCGGCAGTTGCTGGAGGGCCTATTTAGTTTTTAAAGTTAGAGCCAAGGTAGTTTATAAACGTAATGTAACTTTATATGCCCATAAATAACGTCACGTGGATACAATATATTAAGCAAGACATAACCGAAAACTTACAAGGATTTAATGTACATTGTAGCTTCTTTAAGTGGCATTTAGTACATTGTAGGCCTACGTTTAAAAAATAAGATCAGATCTCCAAACAATAGGGCCTATTTAAAATGGCGTGGGCCTAATTAATTTCGGGTCAGGGCCTATGTTGATTCCCGTTGGGCCTAAACCCCACCCCCCTAACATTCATTGTCTATGCGTTTTTAATCGTGTCAGACAAAATCTTTGGGCCTGAGGCTGCAGCCTCATCAGCCTCACTGATAATCCGCTACTGGTCATCATTAGTAGCAGGGTCGTAAAAATCCACTAGGCTGACACCTAGGGATATAGATAAATAAAGTGTAAAATATCCCATTTTTATTTCTCCAATCCATGCTAATACACACTAGTTTAATTTTTCTGTTTAACAAACTGCTGCGCGACTAAAATGGCACTTGCACACAACCTCTCATTGCTTTCTACATCGCTAACTACATGTAGAAGAGTTCTTTTTAGCAGGAAACACTAGTCAAGTGGGCAAATATTATAGAAATATTGACATCAATTTGAATACTGTACTGGAATTAAATATGAATAACAGCGAGGTTCACATATTTTTTTTTTGTATTCAGATTAGAGTGCATATACCGTATGCTATATTAATTAGTATACATGTAACATAAAAATATTTGTCTATTAGTATTAGTGAGAATGGAAGCTTTTTGATGATGTTATTTCCTGAAGTTAACAAACGACTTGTTGCGACCTAATTCTGGCCACTATTAACTCCAACCAAAAATGTCCAATGGGTAAAATTATAGCATCCCATCTTTACTCTTCTTCAATTATTCCATTTATCAAGTTTTATTTTACATGTAGGCTAATACTTTGTCCAATTACAGACTATTGGAACTCAATGCCAAGCTAGTGTCTGACAGTAGTGTACTACTAGTGCTAGCTCTGGATAAGTGGATTTAAACTTTTTTTTTATGCCCCTGATTAGTAGTCTTTAATATTTATAATATTCATTCAAATCATGACATACTCCCTTATCTTTTTTATAAAAGTCACAAAGTAAACTATTGATATTAAATAAACTTTTCAGTTGATCTTTTTATTGAATTGTGGATAAAATTAAGAACCATCACAACAGTTTGGAGGTTTAAACACCCTCCTTGTCAGTAAAATGATCAATAAAGAAACAAAATAATTTATCTCAAGTTAATACATGAGACAACATCTGTGTCTTACCTGCCATCTTTTTGTGCAGCTCCACCCTCAGTTAATGTTTTTATAAATATACCTAATTTCTCTAACCCTGCGTCTGCTCCTACACCCATACCTATAATACTTAATCCGAGACCTTCTGGTCCTAAAACAAAACATCAGAAAAATTATTACTATTATCAAAACTCAAAACAAACATGGAAATTCGAGATTAACATACAGTACATCCTTATTTTATTTTTTTTCATTTTTCTAGTGTATTTTTAGGGATAAGTCAAATAAAATCAAGAAGAATGTTATTTAAACTGAAAATGTACCAAAGAACAAGAAGCCAAGAAGCCCCCACTGACAAGTGTTCTGAAACAGATATGACTCTAATCAAATAACAATATTATTGAAGGCACCACAAGTCAAAAGTACATGTATAGCAAAACTATACAGTTATATGGGACAACAATCACTGGTTTATTATACACAAGCACGACGTTTCGATAAGTATTCTCTTATCGTTATCAAGCACAAATAACGATAAGAGAATACTTATCGAAACGTCGTGCTTGTGTATAATAAACCAGTGATTGTTGTCCCATATAACTGTATAGTTTTGTTATGTTTCCAATTGCTAAATGCCACTAAAGGATTATACATGTATAGCATAAGTATCATTATTACTACATGTGTCTAAGACCTGAGAGATAATAAAGACAAGATGGTAGTCTGAAAAAAATTGAAACTCACAAGGGAGGCAACCCCCAAAGCATGATTAAGTCAGCATTTCCCAACCATGCAATCAATTTCCAGTAGTTTTCAATCTTAACAGTCAAGAGCACAAACTACCCATAAAATTGATTAGCATTCTGATCTGTATTTTGAGTACAAGGTTTTGGTGACAGGGGTAGTAACTCTACTTAAAATAATAGTTACCCTTAATTAAATCTACAGGGAAGACGTCCATTTTTTCAACACGCTTTTCAAGTTCATATTCAGCTGAGGCAGCCACTGGATCCACATCCTCATTTCGTCTGTCATAATCTTCAGTGGAGTAAGTGGGAAACATCTGAAATTGATACAACAAATAATAATAAAAAAACATTATAAAACAATATCCATTCTTTAACTTATTTCCTACAGTTTTTTAAAATATGAATGTATTATTAACTTTGTTCAGTTCTAACAAATTAACATTCGAACTATACTAAATCTGTGGATTTGAATTGCTATTTGTAATCCATGGTATAGATACACTCTTAGTTACAATCTGAGGTCTTCCATACTATGGTAATATAAAAAAAACATCTTGAAAACATCATTGATGAAGATAAAACAAGATATTTCATAAAAAATAGAAGAAATCTTGGACCGTTGCCATCATCAGAAGAAATGTATTAAAGTTTATCAAATACATGTATCTTGTAATATTACATAAACTGGGAGTAAAAGCTTTAATTATCAAAGCATTAAGGATACTCTGATAGTGATTGTTTTTCTTTAGGCAAAATGTTTCCGATATTATCAACATCTCTACATGATTAAGACACTTCAAGAAAACGTTTATTATCACAAAAATTGTGTATTTGACTGTTAGATTTTCAATTTTATTCTAAAAAAAATTTGATTGTAAGTGTTTTTTAAAACTACATGCTATTCATTGACATCAAAAAGAGTCTAACCTGTTAAAGGTACAAAAAAAATTGTAGATTTTTTTTTTTTACTTTCTTTTATAGCTAAAAATTAGGTGATCATACTAATTTCCTTTAATTTAAAATCACATTCAATTAAAACAATTCTTTAGTCCTTGTATACAATTAAAAAGATACATCATCATAATTTTAAACTTCAGTGTATATGAAAACTTGTAAGCTTATACCTAATTTGTATATGAAATACATTTTCGAAGAAAGACATTTTTGTAGTCTAATGTCTAATTAAAACGAAATAAAGAAATGAATTGTGATGCCGAGTACCAATTAATGAGGTGAAAATGAGTAAAACAAGTACAGCTTGTAGAAGCATTCCTCTTTATCCAAGCAAGTGTTAAATTACTTAAAAACTACCAGTAGAGCAGGAAGATACGTCACCACAGGCACTTCAAAATTACAAGTACTAAAAATAACTCTGTCAATTTTAACAGATGAATGAATGAAAGATTTATAACCAAGTTACACATGTATGTTTGTTTATTGCCATTTTAAATTGATTCTCTCAAGACTTTTAACTACAAATACAGCACCTAAACCGATTTTCTGATTTTATAACCTCACAGAGTATTAACCATAACTGAACTAAAACCTTAAAGATACATTCCTGACAGCATAATTAGGACACTGAACCTGGTAATCTTATTGATAATAGAGTGCTGTAGTTCTGGAGCTGTCAGAACACTAGAGTCTCAACTTGTCTAACATGTAATTCAAGTCCACATTTGTAACAAAAGCAGACAAAAATTAATGCTCAATATAACACTTACACAGTGACAGTTGTGCAAGATTTTTATTGACATATTTTTACGACAAAATATCAAAAGCTTATTTTACACGGATGGGGCAAGTTCTGTACAATTAAATATTTGTGTCTACTTGTTTACTAATTTTTGTTTAATATTTGGCTCACTGTGTGGACAGTGGAACCCCAATGAGCCCTGACGCAAATTGTCAGATCTATATGGATTTGAGGCCACAGAAAGTATAAACAAATAAATGAAACTTAAATCTGTCTATCTTGGGCTGTATTGTTCTATCATCAACCTACCTTTATTGGATGACGACTGAATCGTATTTTTGTTGCTTTTCTATATTCTATTTCCTCTTCACTGCTATCCTCATCTGTACTTGATAATCCTTTTATTTCTAGAAAATTATCTTGAGCTACGTAAGGTATAACATCGCCTTAAAACAAACGAGACAAATTAAAATAATTCTGCTTAAGACTTTAAAACTTAGAACAGTCTGATACGGTTCCATCTAAGGACTACCACAACAATACCAGGAAGTCTGAAAACACTTTATTCAGCTTCTCATTTCAACAGAACATATCCCAATTATATCAATGTCAAAAGTATGTCTTATCTTATTGTACACGGAGATAATTATTTCAATTGGGCATGTCAGCGTACAAAAAAAATCTGTATAAAGAATGAGGTGGCTTGTATGAAAAAGATACTTTAATCATTTATAATTCAATATATCTTACCCAAGATGCGTACAATTTTATAAGATGGTAGCATCAACAGTGTAATATAAACTTCAAATGACCCTACGTAAAGTTACAGAATTTATCGATTTGATTAGATTTGAACACAATATGTTTTGTAGCACAAAGGTAATCTTGTCTTGCAATCTTGCATGGTCTTGCATGTTTTGTTTTTTTTTTGTTTTTTTTTTTTAGCTTACTTGACCTTTCTGCCATGTTTCCAAATGGAGTACATAAAGTTACATGTAACTTACTGTCTGCTTCAAGTGGAAGAGGTAAATCAGGATCCTCATGGCCATCTCCTTGTTCTCTTTTAGAAAATATATCAGCTTCACCTTCCTCTCTTCGTTCAAATAAATTAGGTTGAGCACTAAAAAATAAAATCAAAAATTTTTTTTTTTAACAAAAAGTCTAGGTACATTACTTTCACAAATTGTCATCTAAATAATAGTACAAAGCAATAGTTTTAAAACAATAAAAATTTGAATCACTAAAACTACTTTATTTTTAATAATTTGATGCAGCAGCTGGTGCAAATTCCTCTTTTGATAATAAATGGGCCAGTCCTTATATAATGTAATATGTGCAATTACTAGATAAGCAATATCTTAGGAAGGGTCCATTATTCATAAAAAGTGTAGAATACAACTTACATGCACATCCAGATTATACATAATGTATTTTTGACAAAAAACTTGATAATTTCATTTTAAAGGGCCAATCCGGATAATATTTTGGAGAATAAAACTTCTAAATTTTGTATTAAAATCTCTTAAAATCCTATATCTCAGGGCCGAGCAACTAACTAAATGTATGTGATATGTTTTCAAACAACTTAAACCCGTCAGTCGTCATCTGGAAATGGAGACCGGTGTCCTAAGTTGTATTATGGGATGTCTGGAAAAATCAGACTTTTATTTTATAATAATAATAATGTGTAGGTGAAATGTACCTTTCGTTATCAAGTACATGGCACAAGTCATTCACTGTATAGACCTCTAAAGGACCCGGAATCGATTATCAGGTCACCCAACGAAACAATTGACCCGAAATCTTAAAAGGGTTACATGTCCGGGTAAGCAGTTTTGACATTCACGTCCAAACGACTCAATATTTTGAGCTGAAAGTTTGAGACAAGGTAAATACACCATTCCTCTATATTTGGGCGCTTAAATTTCATATTTTCTCAGACTTTTATTTTTGAGACTCTGTTCAAATCGGGATAGTCCCTTTAAATAATATTTGAGAGAGATTCAATATTTTCTTGAACAACGTACAGAATCATAGTGAACGCTAAATTTAAAGGTGCTAAACCTCTTTGATTTAGGTCCAACAACATTACTGAATTAAGTTCATCTGATGTGTTTTTCGCTCAGCAAGTTTGATACATTTGTTTTTCCAAGATTAAAGTGAAGTCTATTTGTTTACTACTTTAACTTAATTTTTGGCTAACTATCTTGTCAATGATTAAATAAAATCAGTATTAGCAGTAGTCTCAATACTGACTTTTGATCTCTTACTCTTAATATTTCAAAATTAATTATATTTCTTTTTTTCATTAGAGTGATGATGCCCCTTTAATATGATTATTTTGATTTTATTAAGTAGATAAATGTTGATAATGTTTTAGAAATCATCTAGACAGTAGACAGGACGGTGTCTTCTATTATCAGGTTTATTCTACATGCTCTGTTTACATTTAAATTCTGTCTTCATTAGCCCAGTCGAAGCAGAATAGTAGGACGTTAAATCCAATTTCATTTACATTGAAATTACTTAAAATTAAAGTAAATGTTTATTTTGAAACAAAATGATTACAAACATTTTTCTGAAAGTTATAAATTTCCTGAAGGTATAAAACTGTAAACATTGTAAATTTATCTGAAATAAATGTAAATGTAACATTATATCAAGTACAAAAACTCAGGTTTATCAATTGACTTACATTTGCATCTGTAGAAGTAGTTTAGCTTTTATACTGGCAACCGTTTTATGTGTTGGTTTATCAATAACTAACATACTGACAGACATCGTGTTTGATAACTTGTTAATTTACACTTTAAATAAAATATACACAATTTACATCACTGTTTTAACATATCTAACCATGCAAACACAGATGTTAATACATATCTACAGTATAACTAAAACACAAAGGTATAATCTAAAGTATTTCACTTAAAACTTTTAGCAATTCACAAACTTTAAAATATGTAGTTAATTCACCATTTACAGTTCATGGTTTAAGTATAAAAGGATAGTTCGTTGTAACCATGAATCAAATTAACTTAACTTGCTTTTATTCCTTACATATATTTCTTCAAGCTTGTTGCATAATGTTCAAAGTAAATCCTATTCAAAACATTTCCAATAAATTTCCTTTAAGAATTTAAGTAGTTTTGATTCATCGGTTGCTCTTGCAGAGATTACGCATGATTCAATTAATATTTTCATTTGCACCAAATCTTTGAAGTTCAAATTTAAACTGTTAATTTGACACATATGTGTATCATAGCTGTTACAAGTACAAATTTATCCATTCCTCTATCAGGTCATCAAGAACTTATAATAATCATATTTGGAAAACACATCATTAATTTTCACAAAGTTGAAATCAATCCATGGCAACTAATTTAGATTCCAAAAATATCTCCAACGATTTTTTAATTTGAACAGAACTTAAAAATTCTTCCTCACAATTTATTCCCAAATCACAGATTCCACAAACTGCTTTACATCCAGAACTTAACAAAAATCAATATTGATATAAAAAGAAAATTTCCTACCACAGCTTCATTTCAATTGATCCTTCTTCAGAATTTCTGAAGACACATTAATATCATACAACAATAGCGCATCATAAACTTCCTCACAAAATGTATTAAATTTCCTATTCAAATTAATCCAACAATGTTTCTTTCTTCATAAATGATTTTTGAAATGGAATTCTTTTTACTAAATGTACAGCCTAGTAAAGATTGACTCACTGATCATACATACATGCATAGACAGTTTGTCCACTCAAATTAACCTACTAAACTTCAGTCATTTACATCATAAATTAATTACTTTTATGATCTTTATAGACTAATTATCTTCCTAATTAACATATAATCATAAATTATAAACTCTTTCATCTGTACAAAGAATGTTAGATTGAATCTTGAGGATATACAACATTTAAGTTAAAGAAAGATTTCTGGAGCAAATAAACAAAACAAAACTAAACTTCAACCTTCACAGACTTTAAGAAGAACACATGAAAAGTACTATTTTTTATCAGAAAAACTTATAAGGGTCATCAAAAAGTCTCAATGCTGCAGACAGCCAATAACCATTTTCCCTACTGGAATTAAAATATGGCTTAAGAATCCGCAATGGTTTTGGGTTTTTTTTTTTAGATAGCACTCGAAACCATTAAACAATGTACATGTATCATTGAGGTGGAGGCTGACGATTTTATCCTTAAAAAACTTACAAAAAAACGCTAAATGTAGTATAAATTTTAAAGACGCTCAGTATTTTCAAATTAAAAATATCAGAGATTACAAATTCAGAATGAAGTTACAAGTTATAATTCATTTATTCCCAATTTAAACATACATTATGCAAGAGCTAAATCTGCCTATTTCTTTAGAATTGAAATGTTATATACACTATTCATTAGACATTTATTAACATGAAAAGACCATAATCAACTTTCGATGCCATCTTATGCATCTGATTTTCATTGGATTTCAATTTGATCTGCTGTTCAAAGCCTGTTGATGATTAAATGCAAAAATGGATAATCGAGGCTTTGTAAAACTTTGTTAATTATTGTGACAGCGGTAAGAATCACAATCGAGGCTACAGTGATTTTAAAATAAGGTTTTCTCGGCTTAGAGTGAGGCAATTTGACTGAAATTTTCAGTATAGTTTTTTACTATTATAGTGAGAAAGGTCAGCTCTTTATCTAATTTTCCATAACGCTGTTTTAAGCCTAAACATTTTGAAACATGTAACCTATCTAAGTAAGATACAATATCTGAAATACATAATTCACAAATATTGTCATAATGTAATGTTAGTACTTCTATTCATTCCCAAATTTACCTATAAGAAATATATACAAATATTTTAAATTTTTGATATTTTTGTGACTGAAATGAAATGGGGTTTAACATCCTACTTTTCTTCACTGACAAGTGTGCTATGGGAAAACTTTGCCTAAACAGCAGAACTACGATCCATTCTTATTTTGAATTCCAACTGTCAAGGATTCTTTTACATGAATGCCAAAGTGTACACAGGACCTCAGTTGCTGTCCCATCCGAATGACTAAACTAGACACTGTTCTGTACCACTGACAAGGGGAAACGACTGAATCTGTAAAGGATTTTGATTGTTACAAAATAAGGAAGTACATGTGAGACAACAGTATAAATGACTAACTGTTATAAATGGTTATTTACAGTATATATAAACATGTAGAGATATGTCAATCATCTTATAAATATAGACCATATAAATATAAGATATAATCATAACTATTTCTACTCTCTGTCATGATGTATATTTCATGTATACTGACATGAATCATGACCATATTTGATTGATCTGGTCATATAATTAACAGCAATAAGTGCTAAACATTCTGATCTGATCTATCATGATATTACTCTACAATATTTGCTACTAAACTAAACAACTCAATTTATATTCCAATAAATACTATCATAATATATAAAGGAGAGAAAGGTCATTTTGGGTCTAAAACATGGTTCAAATTTATTTCAATAATTCACCTACTCCTTGTTACATACATGTACAAGTGGGGAACTAAATCCACGCCACTCAATTCAATGACAGACCTTTTGATGCAACCTGCACACTTCAACCATTCGATCCACTCCCCCTCATCATAAAGGAGAAAGGTGTTAAATGATAAACAAGCGACCTATAAGGCTGATGTCCTGCGACGCAATCGAAAAATAAATAGATTACACTCATTAATAAATTGCAAATTTATATTTTTTTTTATAAAGCATCAACCACACTGAATAGCTTACAAACCTGCTTAATCTGACTGAGCAGTATATGTTCATTATCAAACTTAGTCAAGGTATAGATGTAATGAAACTACACACTCTGTTTTATTCTTTCACCCAATTAGAAATCTGAATCACTATTTTCCAAGCCTGGCATCAAAATAATCATATTATTTACAATGTATCTATGCTTAGCAGAAAATACTCTTCCTAGATGTCCAAAAGCTTTCAGACCTACAGGTAATGACTGTTATTACAAAATCATGCCATAATTTAAAAAATATCCAATGAAAAATCCTGACTCATTGGTTTCCTATAAATAAAGAATCACACGTTTGGA